AGTTAAAGTCCCAAAGTATTTTGGTGGTCCAACTGCGTTTCGCAAGATTTGAACAGTGACCCTTAAAGAAGTGAGCGCCAAACATAAAACTGGTAATTACATAACGTAGGAACTTTATTTCCATGCGTTTAAGTTATAACAAAAGCGGTCCTTCGTTGTGAACGGAGAAGTTAAAGTCGCTGAGGAAGTCAACGAGGAAAATATAGGTTTTTTTCGAACTTTTCAGCTTTGGGTACCACTATCGCCGAAAGGCTCAAGACCCAATAGTTTATTAACAGTTGCCTTTCAGGGATAGTTTTCTATGCTCAGAACATGTTTGATCCCATGTCATCCTCACCTGAAATCGGATTTTTTTTGTTACTATCCGCTAGTTTAGATTGCAGAGCATTCGCAGTTCTCATAAGCGAAAAAAACTTATCGGATACTGACCTATCTCGACTAAAAAAGACCTCTTTAAAGTTGTCCGTCTTTATCATTGCGTTAATCTACGAATACATCCGCTCTTCATTGCTTCTTACCTCGCGATCAAGCTATCAATTTCACTACATGCGCTTGTACATGTTTAAAATGTTATTTGTTATCAATTTGCTCTTTTCTGTTGAACCATAGTTACTATGGTTGAACAAAAAACAAAACTAAAAAGTCAAAACAATTACATGTTAACAATCATAGGACATGAAAAGCTGGGCTTACTTTTACAAGACAGACACGGAAAATTAAAATAGCTAGTCTTCATAGGTTATAATTATTTACACAGGTTATCTTTGGTAAATTATAAACAAAAGCCCCATCGTCACGTATCGCGATATTTTTGAAAACGGAAACTTTTTGCTCCGCTCCTTAAAAAATACGCTTCCAAAAGTGTGTTTCAAAGTTTTCGCCAGGAGCCCATCAAATGGAGCTGCTTGTCTCACAGTAAGAGGCCATGAAGCTGGTCTGTTCCATGCATGATGATTAACCAAAATGTTAATTACCAAAATTAAGATTGACATAGTCAGAGTTTAAAACTCTCAACAGCATAATCTACCCGCTAGAAAGAAAAGAAAAAAAATCTCTGAGGGATGAAAACGCTAAAGTCAAGTTTCACTAGCTTATGATGGTGTTTGGCCTGTCAACGCCGAATTACCTGCTGTTTGATGAAGTACAATAGCACTGTCATTTCGTCACTGTGATTGGCTCTTCCCACCGTCGGCGCCCGAAGTCTCCTCTGGGAACCGTTCTAATTCAGTATAAACATTACTCGGACAAGGGTTGACTCCAAGGGTTTGTATGGGAGATGGAGGCTCTGTTTGATGGGCTCCTGCTCCTGCTCTTTTAACTGCGAGTTACATGAGAAAAATGACGTTTAAGTGCTGAAATACACGAAACCTTTCTTTTTTATTAACATTATTATATGTTTTTGTATTTAAAGTCCTAAACTATTCCTCTGGTCCAACTGCATTTCTCAAGATTTAAACACTAACTTAAATGTTCAAGAAAACCGCTTAATGCTATGTGTCTTTAAAGAGACCATTGCACATCAGAAGCCTGCGAATACAACCGCTCTTCATTGCTCCTTGCCTCGCAATCAACCTGCCACTTTCTTTAAAATGTTCTTTGTTTATAATCATAAACTTCCCTGTTCTTTCAATACACAAAACTGAAATGTCATGAACATGACGTTACCTGGAACTGACAAGTATACGGAGAAGAAAATTTACTTTAAAACCGTTGCTTAGCGTTACATAAGAAAAATGACTTTTACGTGCTAAAATACAATATGTTTTTATCAATATATATTCATGAGATGAGTCACGTTTATTTCAAAACCTAGACTTCCTTTTCCCATAGTAAGCCAAATTTTGTGTCACATTTCTATTTTAAGTCCCAAACTGTTCGGGTGGTTCAACTGGGTTTCCCTGCAAGATTTAAACAGTGACTAGCAAAAGAGAGGCATAATTTAAAGCGCCAAACTGTCACATAAACGGACTGGTGAGGTATGTAGAAACCTTATTTTAACACGTTTTAATTATAACAAAAGCGACGCTTTGTGGTGAACAGAGAAGTTTACAATAAGTCAGTGAGGAAGTCAACAAGGAAAATAATACAGTTCATTTTTAGATTTTTTCAGCTTGGGTACCACCATTTCAGAAAGGCTCAAAGACCCAATAGTTTATTTAACAGCTTCCTTTCAGGGATAGTTTTCTATGCTTAGATCATGTTTGGTCCCCATTTTTCATCAAAGAGTACAGATTCTCGACCTGTGAGAATCCACACGCTTTTAATTATTGCCTTAAGTTGGCAAGACTGGATTTTTTAGGTTGGATACCTCTTAAGTTTGAGTATTTACCACGTTGGCGTGCAATAACAAAGACATCGGAACTGAGCGGTTACCACAGCCCTACTATGAAAAGATGAAAATTTGTTGTGATCCATGTTTCATTGCCATGGCAGATGTCACTCACGTACCTCCCTTAGTTGCCTCGATTATGGCAAAGTTTGAACAAATGCTATGAGAGCATTTTGGAAATATTTTGAACGAATTTTAAGGGTCATAAAAACAGTGGATAAACATGCTATCGACTTCATTGGCTATTAAATATGTAAAAGAAACAATCATGAGGTATGGAAATGCAGTTTCATCTCATAGTGGTTTGATTTCATTTGAAACAGTGTAGGAAAAAAGAGGAGGATTAACTGATGAAGTGTGCAAGTGGCCCTGCCTTCTATCAGTGAATTTAAGCCGAATTTCTATTCGCAAGCATAGAAGTAAGGCTAAGAAAGATGACAGATTTTTACTTGGAATAAGGCGTTTAACAGTAGTTCTTTCAATTTAACGAAAACAGTATCGAAACTCAGTTGAGAATCACCGTGGGCTCAAAATAACAAAAACTATTTCTGAGTAAGGAGCTTATTGATTTAGATATATTTATTGAAAGCACTGAGTTGTATATTATCTTTAAGTGTATTCACTGCACAACTGGAAAAGTCTCAGTGAAAGAGTTTAGGGTGGTCTTAACGTGACGGTAATTAAGGAGCGATGACCGGATATCGAAATGATTCTAATTTTTTAGTAGCAGGCAATTGAAATTCGTTCCTTACATCGCTCGCCTTTCAGTTTGGAGAAAGACTAAGTTTCTTGAAACAGAACAATGTTGAAATGCTAAGACTGAAAACGACCATGATCCTGAAATAACGTGCCTCGCTCACGAGGATGGAGCTGAAGGAGCAAAGGATGAATACGAAAAGGATCTTCAGTATAATGGTTAGTTTTATACCAACTTATGCCATTTAAACTCAGAAAGTTCTGAGTATAAACCGCAAACCGAACATTAACGGGAGTACAGTCATGTAGTTTTATAAACTTTGTCAATGTTATGTCAAGTCTTTTTCATATTTGTATGATAATTCTGAAACTGACTAAACCGCACAAACAGGTGCATATAATATTACGTAAAATCAGTGAAAGGCACATTACGTTTTCCAAATCAGAACTCGGGAAAAATATCTGAATTTTCTTCAACATTGCCCTGAAATAAACAATAAATAACTAAAGCGAATAAACCCTGAAATATTAGTCAAGATAAAAGTATGAAGCGTTCGCCGGGTTGTAGAAGCCCTTCGTTTTGTCAATTCAGTAAACTGATCTCACGCTTGCCGGTCTTTCTGAAACTAAACTTGGGACGAAAACCTTTTTCAATAGCTTTGCTTTAACACCTGATTGCAGAACAAAAAAGTGCCGCTCAAGCTGAAATTTGATTGCACGTTTTTCAGTAGGAAAGTGTTGTTATATGTGATTTCCACGGTTGGTCGAATATTTCAAGGATGAAACTTAAATAATTGAGCGTGTTGTCGCGATACCTCACTTATTCCCTTTACATGACATTTTCTCTAACAAAACTAAAATCCTAATAGTTTCATTTTACCACTACTAATGAAGCGATAGATACCGAAACAGGAAAAAATACATGCATGCGTAGCTTAAAAACTAATTAATATAGTAGATTTGTTTTAGGAGCGGATGTTATTTCCACGGTTGGTCGCTTTGAGTTTTAGTAATTTTTAGACTTAAGTATGCGACTCTGACCGAGGTGACTATTCTTTAGTTTGTAATGATTCAATAACGTCCCCGTCGATATGATCAATTTGTCTCTGAGAGCAACTCACCACTACTTTTCATGTCTGCGATTTGAAATCAGGTATTGGTAAGCCGATCTTACTGTTTGATTCATGCCACCGCGCTTATTTAAAGCACATAAGTACATGTATGTTTAACTCTGATTTAGCCTACAAAAAATTATTAGCCAAACCTAAAACATGTACAGTTTAAAGAGAAATTGTTAAGTTACCAAATATAAAGTTACAATAATGATGAATCTGTCAGGGTTTACTAAGAAAGTCAGTTTTACAGCTTGCCAGTGGACAAGCTGTACCGAACATGTACTAGCCCAATAGACACTTAACTAGCCCCGAAAAAGAATTTTTAACGAGCAGGATTGATAAGAGTTAAATAAAGGCAGTTTTAAGGGATGCTTGTCAACTGAAGACAGTCCTCTCCCCTTATAATACACTGTAGGTCATGTAACAGTTTCAAAGTTGGATCATTTGCTTAGTGTCGTTAGGGTTAAAGAGATGCTTTGCCTGAAAATCTGGGGAAAACCACTGCCCAGAAACTAGTAATGCTTTATTTAGTTGAAATTGTTGGAATTAACTCTTAAATGTTTTTGGGAGAGCCTTTATGAGTTATCAGATTGTTGCCCGCTGAAATCGAGTATAGCATCATTTTAATGATGCTAAAAAATACTTTGTTTTTGCTGAAAAAACCGCAGAAATCTTAATAGTACAACAGCTTCGACTTTCCACTTGTACAAGCGGCCAATCAATTAATGTTTCCCCTTTATCCTTGTCTCCTTCTCTTCTCTTCTCTTCTGTTGTCTTTGCTAGGCAGGAATGTGCTGATTTTTTCCTGTTTAAGAAAGAATCCTCTTTTTACTTTACAGAGCGTTGTTTGGTGTTCACACATGTCTTCGATTGAAACATTTTTATTTAAAGCCACCATCGGTTGGCTCGTGAATAAAGGAAGAGATGTGACAGCAGAAAAGCTAAAAGAAGGCGACGTGACGGATAAAAAAGTACGTGATTTGATCGTGCGTGAAGTGAAAGATATCAAGTCAAAGTTGGACGGATTATCAAGAAAGGATCTCCTGGTAGCTGTTGATTCCTTTGAAACAGGAGTCAGGTTTTTCTTTCAGGCACTCGATGTAAAACCTACTGGTGGAGCCAGTACCGCAACAGAAAAGACCTCTGTGGCAATCAAAGAAGAGAACGTTGACTTAACAGATGTCGTAAAGGTAGTTTCCTTTGCCTCAGAGATGGAAAAGATTCAGAAGATTGATCTTGATGAGGCGACAAAGATTAAATTTTCTCAAGCCGAAAAGAGATTCAAAATGGCCCGTGAAGAAGCAACAAAAGCCTCCAACAACGAAGCTCTTGAGGTTTTTGACCGGATCACAGCCATTCAATTTCGTGTCATGGCAGCAATATTAGAGTCAGTGGTAGAGACAGCGAGAATCGCGGGTGTCTTGTCCCCAGAAACTGTAAAGAGTGCATTGGAAAATGCATTAAACGAGTGCGATCAGTGCCTTCAGAAACTTCATTGTCTTCCAGCTGTTCAGGACTGTTTTAAAGTTGGACTGGAAAAAGGTCTCCTAAATTTGAGACGACGGTTTGGTAAAGATGAGCGAAGAAGGGTAATTTCCACGGTATGCCAGGTAAATCGCGCCATCTACAATGCGACACAAGCAGTTGGCAGAGACGCCTTGATCTGGCCATTTGTCGACACCGGAGAAGATAAAGTTGACCCTCTACGCGATAGAAGAATACCAAAGGTATTGCGAAAAGTTTATATGGAGCACTGTTGTGTTAAACCATGGTCATTAGGTCAGGAGGGTGAAGAGGAGCACAAGCTGAAGAGGCCGTGTGGTATCGCTACAAACCATAGAGGACAATTCCTGATAGCAGACGATGGGGATAAAACCGTGAAGGTGTTTGATAGCAACGGAAAGTTTGATTTTAGGTTTAATCCTCAAACTGATGACGCCGATACAGAGTTAGATATTTTGGATGTCGCCACTGCAGGCGAGGACGAAAGGATTTATCTTCTGGTCAGACTGAAGAAGCCTGGGGCTGAGGAATGGGAGAGGGAAGTGCAGGTTTTTAACAAAACTGCTGACCTACAGCACAAGTTTCCTGTGAGGAGAGGGAACTGGAACAGACTAACAGTGAGCAGCGAATTGAGCAGCGGCAAACAACGCGGCAAAATTCTCCTGTTGGCACGTGACGATGTTCATGTTTACGAGGAGCCGAGTGGAAAGCTTGTTTGTAGCTTTGGTCGAAGAGTGTTCGAGAGGGCAACAGATATCACTGCTACTTGTGATGGTCGCGTCATGATAGTGGACTCGGGAGATGACAGTTTTTACTTATTTGATGTGGAGGGACACCAGCTTGGCAAATTTAATATCAAATATGAGGGAGATGTCTTTTTTCGCATTGCATGTCACCCGACAAGTGACCATGTTGTCCTTGCTGGTTTGGAACGAGAGACAGGCTGCCTGACGCTGGCTATATACACTGTTAATGGTGAATTTGTTCGCAGAATTCAGCTGGATGAAGAAGTAGATTATGTAAATGGAATGACTGTGACCATGGAGGGTCACATTGCTGTGGCTTTACAGGATATTAAAGACGAAGATACTCTCCAAGGAAAGGTAATTGTTGTTTAAAACTAAAAATTCGAAGACACAAGTCAACAGTTCTTATTTTACTTTCATGAATAAATGTCATCAAGGCAGATGTTTAAATTTAATGCTGCAGTTGATTGGAATCACTGGACATGACTGGATTAAGCCACATACACTGGCTTAAGTTTACTGATGTTTGTAGTAAGTCTTGTGTTATCGCTCTAACCCTCTAACCAAAAGAAACCAAAACAGATAAAATGAATGCGATACATGTACAGTAAACACTCGCTAATAAGAACCTAACTTACATTTTTTTTTTTTGGAGGTCTGACAAAAAGGTTCATTTTTGTGGGTACGTTACAGAGTAATTAAGGCTAAGTACAACTGTAGTTTCTTAATTAGGTTTTTAATTTCTAATATATACATTTAGCCAGGGCTAAAAGCGAAGCTCCTATTAACTCCAATTTATAATTTAAATCAAACAACATACTTGTATTCCACAATTCAGTTAACTTTAGAGCACATTCATGTGACTTTTGAGGGAAAGGTTTAGTGATTTTAGAGAAAAATAATTTGCAGGAAAACAAATCAGGCCGAATTGTTTGCGTTCGACAATTAAGTTTACTTTACAAAATCTTTCCAACAAGTCTGGGACGTGTAAACCATCCTTTTATACTTTTTATACATCACATCTGAGGTGAAACAGTACCATGAGGCGCTGTTTTTATCATACAGACCTCCGACAGAGTGCAGTATTTCACAATTTTGCAATACAAATATTGCACTCATTCAATATTCAGGACGATCGAATACGTGTGGGCTTTTAGCGAATTTAAACCGTTAAAAAATTTCCAAAATCACCTACATGGCTAGCCGGTTCTCACTTTTGACAAGCGCCAAAGTCGACTGTTTAAATTAAGACTAATAGAGTTGTACGCTTCAACATAATAAAGAATTTGTTATGTTTGTTTTTTATTTATTTAATGGTTTTATAACGATGTGTACTCTTCAAAAGCGTTTGATACGCGTGGCATTTTGACTACTGCATGCAAGCGATGTTTATGAGCGACTAAAAACAAACGGTACAACGATTAAAATTGCAAAAGAGACTACTAACAATCAATAAAAGGAAAATAATTCGGTGAAACATATACAGAGACAACTCTTTTCATTCTCCTGAAAATCCTTGTTTATGTTTTAAGCCGGCTTCCCGGTGTTTGCTTTTTTCAAAGATGAACTCGAGGCAAGAAAATTGCTCAAAGCTTTCTTTTACAGCCAGAATTATAACTAAATATTCTTTGGAACGTTTTCTTTCTATTTTCGGTGAGAAAATGTCTAAAGGCTTTTTAAAGTTTTATAAGCTTATAATCAAACCTGATACTCGGTCAGATCATTGTCTCAAATCTTACAAACATGCATAAACGAAATAGCCCCATAAACTACGCTCGACTTCATTAAATTAGATATAAAAAACAAACATCAAATACAACAATTACTCAAGCTTACCTCTCGAGGTGCACTGAAAACTATCAAGTAAGGCCAGAATCGCTTCAGACTTTTCAACCCTCTTACGCATCAAGCAAGGTGAAAAACGAAAACGATGCCATCCGAAATCGGATTTTCAACTTTGACAAGCGACGTATGTCTCAACCAAAAACCCAACAAACAAACTAGCCATGAATAACAGAAGACTCTTGATAGCAGCTGAATTTCATTTTGTACATTCAATGGAAAAAGACAGTTAAAAACATCACAAGTTGACACAAAACTCTGTCAGCTTCAGCTGTCAAAGTGAACAAGTTTCAAGATGCTGCATAAATTTTGCGCATGAACTCAGCTGTCAAATTTTGACCAATCAGAGCATAAAAATTTGGACGTAGAGCGTGACCAACGCGTGACCTTGGTGAGAAAAGTCAAAAGCAACTGGCATGTCTTCCCTGCCTGTAAAAACTGGCTGAATTTTAGCTTCCGAGGTCAGTTTAAAATCAAAATTTTAATTGTGCGGCACATATTAAACTTGAGCCTGCGATCATTTGAAAACTAGTAACTTGTCAGCGGATAACTTCAAAAAGATACTAGACCTCGATGGGTCGACACCTGAGCCCGCGATACGGTCAGGTGATACTGCTGAGCGGATACCCTGTTTTGACAGCTGTCAATTGATCACAACATTGATGTGCAAGATGTGTGCAATATCAGTCTTCCTCTGCTCCCAAACTGGCTAGAAAGTGTGAGATTTAACATTGGTTTCCCTGTGGTGCGGACGGACGGGCGGGCTGCGGCGGTGTACGGTCACGTGATTACCAAATTTTCTGGGATGGGTAGATTTACTTACCCATGGTGCTCCTCAGGCGCGCTTCGCGCGCCAGAGCTCCGCTATGAAGGAGATGTACAGGGTGTCCCAAAAGTTTGTTCCTCTAATTTCATGCTCAGTATTAACTTTTGATCAAAACTTTATTTTTACATGAAATTTCTCAAAGATGTTTATTGCTCTATCAAGTAGATGATTGTATTCAGAAGTTCAGTAAGCTGCAGGTCCTCTTTTTTTTCTTATCACATTCTGTAGCCGTCGTGGCATAGAGTGGGATGAGTCATCGTAGCGTCTAGAGCCCCATATGAGCCACTTTTAGCTTTTTCATCACCTGGTACACAGGAGCCACTTCGACCCCCCAAAACAATATCATTTTTTTTAGATAATCTAAAATATTTTTTGGCTGCCTAATTTACGCAGCCAAAAAAAATGTTTTAAGCATTCATAAAAAAAAAAACATAATCATCCCGGCCTCTCTCTGCAGGAAGGTTTTTTTACTTCTTTGCCAAGGAGACTAGCTGAACGTTGCTTGGTGGACTGAGCAAGGCTTTTTTTTGCCATCTAACTTGCCTCCAACCGTCATTTTCCAGGAAACTGCCCCAGACTTAGCTTACTAACTGCTGCGAGAACCACCTTGTTAAGTTTCCTTTTTTTTTTCCAACCTATTTTAGAACTATTTTAGCTGCATCCCTCGGAGACCCAGGGGCAGATAGTGGGGCGGAGATGAAGTCTAAACGGGCGGAAAAACATGGCACGAAGAAAGTCGAAAAGAACGGTTTCCTGATTGGTGCCAGAAAACTTGTGTTTTTCTGGCACCAATCAGAAGCCAGAACGGCGGCGACCGTTTGGAACTTGTCTGGTAAGACATTGTCCCCAGGGGCTCTTCTCACCGTTCTTTACTTTTCTTCGTGCCATATTTTTCCGCCCGTTTAGACTTTCCCTCGTCCCCACTATCTGCCCCTGGGTCTCCGAGGATGTTTTAGCTGCTTTATTCAGGACTTTATGTTCTCCAGCAGCTTCTTAAACCACAGTTTCTTATTAGTGGGTGTGTGTTTACTGTGAGTACAGTAACATTCTTTTGTTTCTTTAACAGTTGGTGGTATAATAATATTTTTGTTTGTGCAGAATGGAAAATAATACAATCCAGATTCAGTTGGTTTACAAAAACATCCTCATCATTTACCAGCTTCTCTATAACTCTTTTCGTTAAAGATTCAGGTTTTTAAGCTTAAAATGCTCTACATTGTAACTCAATTGCATGCCACATCAAAAAACACCTTTGAAATCTTCTCCAGGAAAAATATTTTATGATGCTCCCACTTGATTTAAGCAGCCAATAATGTGATAACCCATAATAACCCATGCAACCAGCCGTCTTTTTGGTACAGGCGTGCAGGCTCATTCCCAAAACATCGGCTGGTAATCAAGCCTATTAGTAAGATAATTAAGATTTTATTCCAACAATTTTCACTAAATAAAGCATAAATAGTTTCTGGGCTGTGGTTTTCCCCAGATTTTCAGGCAAAGCCTGCCTCTCTCTTTAATCCTAATGACACTAAGCAAGTGATCCAGATTTGAAACTGCCACATGACATACGTACAGTGATAAGGAGAGAGGGCTCCTTTCCGTTGACAAGCATTCCTCAAAACTGTTTTTGCTTAACTGTAATCAATCCTGCTCGTTAAAAATTCTTTTTGGGCAGGTTAAAGTGTCTATTGGGCTAGCACATGCTAGGTACAGCTTGTCCAAATGGTAAGCTGTGACAAAACTGACTTTCTTAATAAACCCTGACAGATTCATGATTTGCATGTGAAGTAATAGAAATGTAACTTAATATTAATGACAATTTTGTTCTGTCTTTGAACTGTTTTAATAATAAAGTTTGGCATCTAAATCACAGGCAAAAAAACACACTGTTGGCCTTAATTAAAATTAAGTTTGGCTTATGAAAACTTCGACTGCTTTGCAGATCGGCCGGTAGCCTGCTATATTAGTAAAGAATGCATGATTAAATATTATTTGGTAACTTAACAATTTCTCTTTAAACTGTTTTAGGTTTGGCTTTAAATTTTCTGTAGGCTAAATCAGAGATATACATACATTGTCTTTTAATTTGGTTGACCTGAATTGAAATATTAAGCTTGACTGTACTGGCTTTTAATGTTAGTATACAGCTGTAAGTGAAACTCTCCAGTGATCACCTTAAAGATGGAGATCTCTTAAGTGTTTATTATGGGGAGATAGGTATATAAAGCCTGGTTTCCATATGATCGTCCCGATCGCCCCAGTCATTTAAAAAAGTTTGGAGATAATCCGGACAAGTGGGACGATAGGTGGTTTCCATGTGATCGTCTGGGTGCCTCAACAACAAGAGACACGGGGTGTCATCAGCGATGTCTCTTGGTTAGACAATAGAATTTTTGTGTGGGTGTCGCAAACAAGCTATACTTACATGTAATGATGGATTTTAAATGGAGAGCAAACCTCAAGCTTTGCTATCTGCTTTTTCTCTCTATTTTGTGGCGTCAACAAGCTTGAAGTCAGTTCCACAAAGACACAGTATCACATCTAGAACTTGATGAAACAGATTTTCTCTTTAGTTTCAAATAGCGCCCATACGTGATGTGAACATTTTTGAATTATTTTTGACTTCAGCGGCATCCAGGCCGAATATATTCTAAATTAATGGAATAATAGTGATGATTTCTGGGATAGCCTTCGATCGTCCTGATAGTCACAGTCATCTGAGAGCATTTCCAGATCACTTCAAAATTTACATGATCCTCCCAATAGAGATTGTCTCAGTCATCCGGGTCATTTGCGATCGTCTGGGTAGCATTTTCACATGATTGTCCGGATTGTCTGAACATTATTTGAGTCAACTGCGACAATCACAGCACAGCCAAAATGTGTTAATGACAGTGTTATCACGGACAGACATAATCATGGAAAAGCTATAATATTTAACAATTATTCCACGAGGGCACGTTGGATATGAGATGATAGATAGCCAACGAGGCGCATAGCGCCGAGTTGGCTATAATCATTTCATATCCAACAAGCCCGAGTGGAATAATTGTTTTATTAAAACGCCCACAAAATCTCGTTGAATCGCCCCGACTAGAACAAACCGGAAAAGACAAGGGACTTCCGCTATTCTCATGTCACACGTCTATCAAAACTGTCAACGCGCGAACGGACTCGCCTAGACTGCATGAATGAAAATCAAAACATTGTAGCGATGAACATTAGTTTTTTAAAAACTCATCGTGATTCTAGGATTTTACACAGCAGAACAGCTTAAAAAACCTGGCAGATAATGTGAAGGAAAGGAATTTTTAAGTGAAAGCCGTCGAAATTACTATGAATTTGGATTTTCGGTGCAGTTATAAAAGTAAGAACAACGGAGAAAAACTACCAGTATTACCTCGGTCGCTTGTTATGAAGTTGTTTGAAGCCACAAGCTGGTTTTGCTGAACGAGAAAAGAAGCTATACTGCCGCCTCGATTGCTCTAGTGAATGGCTGCATAGCCTGTATTTGTAGCTCGTTACTTGTGATTTATGTTCTTGATGTCGGGTAAATAAGCTGCAGTTATCTATCGGCGAGTGACTCGATCGGCGAATGGCTTCGCGATCATGAAGAAACAACACTTGTCTTCTTTCGTAGCTGGTCAAGGTACTTTAGTTCCATGTGTTTTTCGACAAACTTTCAAACAAGCTCTTGTGGCTTTTTTGTTTGTTTTTGTCTTTTTTCTTTCGTTGAAATTGCATTTCTAGTATTCTAAGAAATGAATTAAAACGATTTGCTTCGGGCGCCGTTTTATCCTTCGTGAAAAAAGATCTCAGCTAGCTTCCAATTTTAAACTGACGAGTACACCGACTATATATGGAGAACATGGTATATTAGCTCATATACCATAACGGCTAAGCCAATCAAAATGCTAGAATTGCATTATCCAATGATTCAGTTTTTAATAAAAATAGTTATATATATGATTATAAAAGAAATGTGATTTTTCTTGGCCAGGGGAAAATCAGAAAACTTTGCAAGTGGTCAGGAAAAGACATAGGTGTTGTGAAGGTCTGTAAAGAGTGTCGAGCCGCAAAGTTTATTTTCTGGTAAAATGTTTTCAGAAAACGCAGTCAAAATCATTTTAAAAAAGTCAAAAACGAAGAGTAGAGTAATATAGATTTTTTTTGCGGGAAATTTTTTTAGGAGTTTCTCAGCTGCTGATAAACTCTAATAAACTCTATTGAATATAATTATGAACAACAACCAAAAACAAAACCTCAGGAAAAAAAGTTGTTTAGGGAGCAAAACAAAGCGAATAAGGTGTTGACTGAGAGTTTATACTTCAAGTTGTTTTTTTGCACATTAACTTGAAAAGTTGCTATGACATCATTGCCTATAACAAAATGCTGCCGTTTAAATACTAAAATACGTTTAACTATGGTATGTTTAAGTGGTTTTGAACTATGTTCTCGTTGGGTGCCCCTGCCACCACTTCTTCTTGTTCTTTCTCTTCAATTTGAACTATTTCCTCTTCCGTTTGCGTACCGGCATCTGCTTGGGTAATCTTCGGGAAAACATAACATTGTTACCTGCAGCATCCTTTTTCTTTTTCCTGTTTGTCACTGTCAGCGACCACATCTCCCGTAAACCACGCTGTCGCTTTTCTGCCATTTTGTCGTGTTCTTGGAGACGAAATGTGGCGTTTTCTATAGTGGCTTCAGAAACCGCTAACTACAATGTTCCCTGTAACTGAGACCCAGTCTTCGACTCGTCCTCAACGTTTACTCAACGTATTACGCAGAGAACGTATTTTAAAAGCAGACTCAAGCGATGTTTTGGCGAAATTCTCCAGAAAAATTTCAAGTTTGCTTGCTCGCAACAGCTTTGTGAACACTTACCACTTTTTATCAAAAGTTTTATTTATCATATAATTTACCTAAGGGAAAGTAGGCGTCGCAAATCAAAAAGTTGCCGTCGGATGCGACGGCCGACGGCTGATTTTGAAAACACTGTGTGGAAAAAATGAAAAATATTAATGTAAACATGCCTATTAGTCTGTTATTCATTTAATAAAGTTATAAGCAATAGATGTTCATTATTAATTGGATAAACCTAGCCTGGTCACGTCCAGTGAAGCCAACCAACTGTATACATGTAGAAAAAAATGCAAAACTTTGCGTTTGATGACATTCAGTACGAAAAAAATCTGCACTGTTCACTTACTGTTGTGTCTTTGAGTTTATTAGTTTTAAGCAACAATTGATAATGAAGGGTGTGTGAAAAAAAATAGTAACATTTTTTAGATTTTTAGGTATTTTTAGGTTTTCATGCATGTGATTTGATAGACTGCAATTTTTATCAACATGTATATAACACTAAATAGTCTATGCATTTGGGTGGGACACGAATTTTCAATATCTAGATTAACATAATCAAGAAGCCAGTTAGGAAGGTCTAAATTCCTTGTTGAGCAATTAAGACAACAAGAAAATGGCAGGGTGATTTTATTAAATAGTTGATGTTAGTTTATACAAGTGCCAAACTTTCCAATTACTTTTTAGGGGCAGTGTCATCAAGGTTTTGTGTTACTTCAAAATCCAACAAATGCATAATTATATCAGTATGGAAATCCACTGATTCTCTATTTTCACATAGACCATAATGCACCTTGTTTGCCCCCAAAATTTTGCATCAATTAACATTCTTTTCAATATTCAATATTTCTCTTGGGCTGACTGTAATATCCAGGAGAAACTGAAAACAAAATGCAAAATTTGGGGGGTAAACAAGGTGCATAAATTATGGTCTATGTGAAAATGGTGAATATGGTAACATTAATGGCCTCTCTAGGAGTCATTAAAAAGAGAGTTTACGCCATAAGAAAACTTAAGTGGACAAATCCTTAAAAAGTTGGGCCGATCCATTTTCAAGTTTGCTGAGTTACATCAATTGGAAAATCTTTTCAAAACCATTAAAAAAGATATTGTTATTATTATAGTTCGCTTGTGCTTTTCAGAACGATTTGATGTCTTTCCCGTCATTCAAATGTCATGTTGTGCAACTCTGGGTTCTAAACGGGCCTTATAGCAAAGTATGTGATTTCTCTTCCGGAGTATACATGTATTTTTTGCACAAAACACTCAGGGTTGGTTATTAAAACAGAGCTTTACTAATATAATGAGGTTTAAAAAAATGTCTCAGCTCCCAAAATAGATATTAAATGATTTTTTCAGCCTAGCCTTGAAGCCTTTTTGATGCTCTTAACAACAAACAATGTTTTCTAGATATGGGCGGTAAGGATGGTACAATAACTGAAATTAAAAAAATGACTTAGAATGCGCAAGATCTGTTAAACACTACCTAAACTTTGTTTTAATAACCAGCCTTTAGTTTCAATTTCTAGATTCGCAATTACCTAAAAATTTTAGAGTCTACATTGTGCCCAAAGCAAAGTGGCCTTAAAGGGAACAGGTCGTAAGTTGGTTTTTGTGTCCATATTATGCAAACTTTGGACCACAAATTATGAGTTAAAGTTGCCTTTGTGTGTTTAACAGAAAGCTACATGTACATAAATGGAGTTAATATTTCTTATCTCTTAATTAGTGTTAGCCCTTTGTGGGTTTATAAATGGAAAGCTTTGTAAATATGCCACGTTATTAATACTGCCCAAGCGTAAGTAGGTCAAGATGGCTGGAATTGTTAGGGGTTTCAATGTTTTAATGAAACAATACAAAGTTTGTGATCAACAAGTTCTTTAACCTACGTAGACTAGCTGGCGGTTTCATTTTCATTCAAACGAAAACAACACCCTGCACACAGCAAACAAACCGCCAGCTGCAGTGCGGGCTACAAGTTCTTGGAAACTCAGTGTTTTGTTGTAAGTTTTCCTTGGTTTTAATATGAAAGTTTTTTTCTTTCTTAAATAAAACGAACCAAGGATGAAAATGAATTTCTACATAGGCATACCGATAATTTAAGACAGAATCCACCAGGAAATTGAGTAATTTTAATTTTCAGTGGACAAAACAAAAAAACCCAGAATAATTTAAAGAATTTTTGCATTTTTTTTACATTTTCAAGGGCTGAAGATGTAATAAATCATCTGTAGTAACACCAGAGAAAATTTCTCATGGAAGTCCGAGAAAATGAATGTCAAATTTTACGAGAATTGTGATTACATTTAAAATTCTGAAAAATTTGACATTCATTTTCTTGGGCTCCCATTTTTTTTGGTGTCACTACAGATGAATTATTACATCTTTAGCCCTTGAAAAATGTAAGAAAGAATGCAACATGCTTTAAATTAATAAGGTACAAGATTTTTGTCCTCTGAAAATCAAAATTCCTCAACATTTACATTGTATCTTTATCATGACCGAACTGTAGCATTGTAATACCATTAGTATTTTGTTAATTCGTATGTTTTATTTGCAAAATACAATTAAATGTGTTACTGGCTTACTTTTTTTATAAAATACATAGTTTTTTGTTTTGAACTGAACACAGGGGTAGGGGTGAGGCAGTGGTCAGAACACTCGACTCCCATCAATTTGGCCTGGGTTCAGGTCTTGCTATGTACGCCATATATGGCTTAGGGACCGGTCATTATTTATCGCCTGGGTGCGGGGTCGGAGGATTTTAGAGGGGATTACTTGATTTTTGGGAGAACAAAAGGGGGGATCAGTTGTAACTGAGAATCCAAAAGCGGGGATCGCTGAAAACCTCGGAAGGATTCAGAGTGAGGACCCTCAAATTTGCTTGGAAAATGAAGACGTAGTGAGGGGGCGGGGGGAGATCGTGAAAGTCATCAAAAGGTTTTAGGGGGGATCACTTCAGTGAAGTAACACTCAAAGGGGGTATCGGCTAACTTTCCTCTTGTTTTTCCCCAAATCCTCCTCCCCCCTCCCGGAGATAAACAATGACCTGTCCCTTAGACCTGGTTAGCAATGAACGCGCTAAATTAATGAAAATCGCCACCCGCGAGGAAGGTGTCCCACGCGCGGTGCTCTCTTTCTTTCGCGCGTCACCTTTCTCGCGGGTGGTGAGGAAAATGACAGAATACTCGTAGTCAGATTGTTAAGGCTATTTTCTTTCCTGACTTTTTTACCGCAAAAAAAATAATAAAGCATTGTTATGGAACTCTGGCGTCGAGTTTTCCCTGGAAGCAAAGAAGCTAAGCGACGTATAAAATCTGTCATTTAAAATTATTTTAAATGACAGATTTTTCAGGAGTTAACAGAAAAGCAAGAAATCCCGCAGGAAATCCCAAGCGGGCTAGATTACTGTGAAACTCAGAAAACCGTGAACACATGAAAAATTTCGGGAAAGTTGACTGTGTAGCGGCAAAAAAATGCAATTTATTTGAGTGTCAATGTATTTAGCAGGAGAGTACTTTTTGGGGACACTATTTTTACACGGGACCGCCATTTTACGTGGTCATCCGAGGCACGCGAAGGTCTAGCCGCTTACAGGTTAAAAAAGTACCTTCATATCTCAGTTATTTTAAGACCTTGAGTATTGTTGGTTTTCACATGACGTCACTAAAATTCAAACTACTGAGCTAACCCTGCGCGGCTAATCACAATAAAGTTTAGGATACGAAAGGAATCCTCAAAACCACAAACTAATTACCATTGGTGTTTGCGGTTTAGTTATCTCGCGCCTTATTGGCTAATTTCTCGCAACACAATAACATGCCGTAAATATTTCTGGTGTGGAAATTGGAAAGGTCTTCCCTGTAATGGGAAAGTGAGCACGATAGGGACATACCGCTTTCACGAACTTAAACTTCAAGCCGTTTCTGGACACGCCAATAAGACGAGGCATTATCAGCTCTGGGACGAGGTCACTTTTAACAGTAACCGAGACCCTCGCTGGTACTCTCGGAGGGTTAAAGAAACACTTAACAGCATCAATAGGGACAGTGGAATTGAGAATTCTCGGCTGATACGAGGATGCCTACAGTCAGACACCGATCAGTACAACAGGACAGCGGACCGCTGAAGGAACATTCATCTCCTCTAATGCCAACAATGCTTTAGATCGAGCCCTACCAACTATGTCCTGGGTGAGGTTCGTGATACAGAAATTAGCCAATAAGGCGCGAGATAACTAAAACGCAAACAGTAATGGTAATTAGTTTGTAGTTTTGAGGTTTGCTTGCTTTGCTTGCTTTATTGTGATTGGCCAGTACACAATCAACAATCCTGTGTGCCGATAACACACATGTACTACAGCGGCAACACTAAGTAATTTGCATCAAAACCTTTATTAGGTAGTTTTCCAGGAAGATCATTTTGACAAGCAAATTTACTTGTATCGAAACAATTTTGTATCGAAACGACCGGCCACCGTCATAGCATAAGATCTTGTAATCTTGTCCGTGTGTGGTAAAACGGAACCCGAGGCTCAGCCATGGAGGGTAGGTAGGTAGGTAGATAGATAGATAGGTAGATATAAGTAGTTAGTAAAATCCAACTAGTGGTCTATTATCAATGTTGCATTCTGATTGGTTGAACTAATACTAGGCTATATGTTATAGCGCACTAGTAGCGAAAAGTCTAGCTTTAACTAGCTAAAGTTGTTTTGTCTCGATATTTTTGACCAACTAGTTGGATTTTACTAAAACAATTATTCCTCTCACCCTCATGGCCTCTGAGTCAATAGCCCATGAGGCCGAAGGCCGAATGGGCTATTGACTCAGAGCTCATTCGGGCTCGAGGAATAATTGTTAAATACAATTCATTACAACTCAAATAAGAAAACAGTATAAACTATCTACATTATAATAAAAATATTAAAGAAAAAGCTGCTTTCCATGAATGCCGTGCCCTTGAGTACTTGTTTAAGAAGACATTTGAATTTCGTAAGGGAGTCTGCTTATCTCACATTACACTAGAGTTTGTTCCATAGGATGGCGCCACTATAGCTAAAGCTATTGTTGTAATAATTTGTCCGTGGTAAAGGATGCAATTAGTTTATTCTCAGAGTCTCTAAGGTTATATGCCGTTTCTCGTATTGCAAACCTAGAACATAAATATTCTGGAGCCAACTCGTGTAAAGACTTAGAAACCATCGTGGCTTTTTTCAATTTCATGCTGGCGCGCTAGATTTTTCCATCCTGGGAGTTCAAACAGGTAACCAGCGTCTTCACCGTGCTCTGAAAATGTCAAAAACGGGCTGCTCTATTTTGTAGTTTTTGAAGTTTGTTCCTTAAGGTTATCCCACAGTTTCCGGCCCAAACAGTATTGCAATAATTGAAGTGAGGGTGAATAAGAGCTTGGTAAATTAGTTGCAAGGTCGCTTGGGGACAAGGTGCCTTACTCAGTCGCTTTATGGCCCCGATGCCAGAAGATACTTTCTTTATTATCTTCTCCATATGGCTACGCCATTCGAGATTATCATCCATGGTGACTCCAAGTGGATTTAGCAGTAGCGACTTGGGTAACTCGAAAATCATTAATTGCAAGTGCTGGGGAAACTGTTACAGTACTTAGCCTCTACCTAGATCCAATTAACACGAACTCGGTTTTCATGAACTCGCAAGGTGCGCTTGATGAGACGAAACTTGCTCAAAGTACATTCTAGCAAGGCATTTCTACTGAGAACTTCGACTGAGCATTTATTTCGGAGTTAAGATTTCAATCCATCTGTGAATTTTATCGTCTTTGCCGCAGTTGCGCCTTCATTTCTTGAATGCGGTTCACCAACGGACGATTTGAAGTTGCACATTTTCCAAGGACTAGATCCAGGCCCTCCTCGCTTTTATGAGCAAAAGCTGTTTCCGCCGCATCTTCGTATTTCCTGTTCCTGGGACAAAAATTAAAATGTCGTTTATAACTAGGTGCAATATGATTAGCTCGTTTCTCGAAAGTCCCGGTAACTTTTCGGGCCCGAAATCAAATAATTAAATCAAAATCAAAGGAATAAAAACACGAGTCCTAGCCAACAAACTAGTCAATTTTGTTTTTACTGATAGAAAGCTACACGTCACATCAGTATGGAATATCTGCAAACATTCTTCAGACCAGTTCGCGAGGAAACCGGTGGTGGTGTCACAAAATGCCAGCTATTTTCTCAGGGTGGCATCAATTAGCAGTGCAGAACTCGAGTCGTTGTTCCCAATTCCTTACGAATTTGTATTCACCCAGGGTTATGAATAGAATTTTGTGGTCAGTGCGCGCTTCTTTGTTCTGGGGTGAAAGGATGAACGGCATAGTCGCAACACAAGTGACCGCTGCTCAAGTTAAAGTTTGTTTAGCCAGCACTTTGAGCAAAGTAAAAACTTCAATGAACTGATAAACTCACCCGAGTTTCACATAACACGTCACTTTATTTTCGGGAAGAACTCTGGAGACATATTTCTCCGCTTCTATTATGTTGTTGCATTCCAGGCATGCTTCAAAAAATGGCTGTAAGAAAGCAATGTATATAAAATTTGCCACGTCTTCACACTGGAATGTTTATTCACAATGTTTCACTGAGTTATGGAAACTCAAAAACGTAGCCTTGAATAATAAAAAAAGAAATAAATCGGCTTTTTGATAAATACCGGCCATCTTTCCGAGACGACCATCATTCTTATTCCGGCAGACAGTCCGTACATTCACTCTTGAACATTTAATATCTTACATGGTGGGGTTAGGGTTTCTTTTTGTGTTTTTCATTTTACCTTCTGCCAGGTTCCGGGGGATGTTCTGGTGGATGTTCCGGGGGGTATTCCGGAGTGTTCCGAGATGCCCTCTTATTCCCCACAATGGCAACTCCTCCAGAAAAGGCACTTTGCTCTCAAGGGCGCCGTTGTAGAAAGGTTTGACACTGGTACAAAGCCGTTTCCTGTTTCGGGAAAACCTAACTTGCGATCCGGCGGTCCTTCTTCCCAAAAGAACGTAACGCCTGATGTCAGGTTACGGAAAACCTTGTCAATGAACTTACCTCGTATCCAATTAGAGATTTACGAGCCTTGGAAAACTTGTCGAGTTCCAGCCAGTTGTGACTTTCAGCCAAGGATCTTACTTTCAGCGAATAAAACCTGAAGACAACACAATGCATGACTTGCAGCAAATGAGCTGAACTATGAGGCAGGAGTTTGAAGGGGTAGGAAAAGAATGAATGACTGAGGTGCGCGTCAACGTGAGGGCCGCGCGAGGACGAAGGGAAGGAATCCCTGTCTGCCGTTTTTCCTCGCGCGTCCTTATTCCCTCCCCCCTTTCACTACTCGTTGAAATGACTGCTATACAGGCTACAATTCAGTGGTGTCAACCAGCAAACTTTAGCTCCGCGTGGTGCAACTAAAGGCTATTTCGAAAACGGGCCGTGTGAGAAAGAGAACGCGATGAACGCGTGAGCAAGAAAGGACGAAAACCCTTTGTTCCCTTCCTAATCGCGCTCCCTTAACATACTGACGCGCCCTTTCCCCCCCCCTTTACTCCCTTTCAAATGCTTGACACAGGCTACAAATCAGGGGGGTAAACAAACAAAACTTAACACTACACGGTGCAACTAAAGGCTGTTTCAATAACGGGCTGAGAACGCGAAAAAGAACGCGATGGACGCGTGAGGATATGAAAGGACGGAAACCCTTTCTTTCCTCCTCCCTCACGCGCCCTAATTCCCACATTTCTCTTCCCCTTCAAACGCACAGGCTACAAATCAGCGGTGTGAAGAAGCAAGCCTTAGCTTAACGTGGTGCACCTAGAGGCTGTTTCAAAAAAGGGTCCTTGGATGTCAAAGGTCTCGTTGTTTACGCGGTCTCTGATTAAAAAAAAAATGTTACAAACCTTTTGTCCGGAACCTTGAATTCCTTTTTCAGTTGCTCAGAGACTTTGAGGTCTCCTTGAAGTATGCACTGAAAAGTATAAAGTAATCCTTAGAAACTAACCCCAGGAAAGTATGATAGTGTATGGGAATTAATTAACATTGAAGCGGTTTACTGTGCTTTACAAGGTGGTTTTCACTACTTTAAGTCTGGATAAAATCCTTAAGAACAACAATTCGAACGTAAGCTACTGAACAGAGATTTCCTGAATATACTGTTGATTCCAAGTTCTAAGATTTGATTCTGTAGATGCAATCTTTTAGTATGGCCATTCCAATGAAAGCTTGTACTTGGCAGAGATTTCCAGCGGTACTGTTTATTAAGCATATTGATGACATCTTAATTTTGATCATTCAAACAAGAGCTACGGTTCAGACCAATCAATTGAGATTTTTGAGTAACTGACTACCTACCCCTCCCTTAAGTCACAATTTGTCCCTAAATTAGAAGTAGGGGTTAATGTTGACTTAGGGGAGGGGTAGGTGGTCAGTTAACTGGCCTCAATCCACAGTAAAGGCTAACACAGCTGGGTGTGTTAATGATCGTACCTGGTAGATAGTATCACTCAAGGACAGATCCATAAATGTCTTTTTGTACTTCTCTTCTAGTTTGACTTGATATTCCATGAGTTTCATTTGTTCTTCTGTTGCCTGGAAAATTGAATCGCACATGCATACAATGCATAACTGACAAGAAATGTTTTGTTATAATATTTATAATATAGTTCAGATCAGTATAGAAGGTTTTCACTCACGTGGCCAGCATCTATGCAAATTTGTTGGAACAAAAGATAGCGTTTGCATATAAAGAAAAGAGTTCAACTCCCAGGGATTGGTTTGGGACACCAATATGGCCGCCATGACGTCATGTGGGTACTTTTGATTCGAATATCGCAAGTTTATCCCATATTCTAGATTACTAGACAAGACATAACGTCCGTCTTCCGTTTCTTCACATGAAGGAATGAGTGGCTCTAGTGTTGAAGGAGTTTGAAGTATTTTAAATAAAAGCAACAAAGTGAAGAGCACACACCTTTGAGTAGAACTGAAATCCTCCTTGCTGGTAAGACATTTGTGCTTTGGACAATGTGTTCATCTTGGATTCTATTGTCTAAATAATAAAAATAGAAGAAAATCAGATTTTATCTCAAGTGTACTGACAAGAGATATCAAAACGATGATTCTATTCTATGGCAGGTAACATTTCATAGATAACGAATTACCTCTTATTTCTCAAGGAATAAAAAGGTGAGCGCCAATCTCTTTTCCAAGGATGTGATCCTTTTGGTTTAGGACTAAAAGTAACCGCTCCGCCAGACAAGGTTAGTAAAAGCTCTGCGGAACAGATTGGGAGAGAGACCGGAAGGCGTAACGCAACTAAACAATTTAAACCCTTCGCGTGACGGCCTTTCCTGCAGAGCTGCGATTTTCAGGCGCGCGCGCTTTGTTCGCTGTACGATCCCTGTGAAAAATAACAGATAACTTGTAGTCTTATGTCTGCTAAGGTGACGTGGTCGCTGCATGTATTGAGGGCCACTATTTACAACGAAGAAATGGACGGCAACAATTAGCGCATGTGTAGTAGATGTCACTGGTTATGATTAGAACGAATTTTGGTAAAGGTTTCGAGTTTAAACACGAGAAATGTGCGAGTTAAATTACAAATAAGAGTTGCTCCACGTATTCTTGGCTCTTCTTGACGCTCAAAATAAACAAGATTGCTGCCGACCATTCGTTCACAGGGGTTTATCCCATTTTCTAACGGGAAAACGTCCCGACAATGAGGTTGAGGGGAGCTTTGTAGTCACCTAAAGTCACGGAAACAAAAATAATCTCTGACGCCATGAAGAAACGGAGTGAAGCGTCACACCCCTTGGCTCAGAATTGAAATTACAAACTAAAGAAAAAAATAATAAAACAACATTCGACCAGATCCCCTCCTAAGCATGATAGCATTCAAGCTACTTTATATGATGCCTTCTCGCTATAGCTGTCCTGCACAAAGGCATTACCACTGTTCATAAACTGGTCATCCTGGTAGAACAGGTCCACAAGTGTACGGCGATCCTGATCCTTACAGTACTGCAGTCAAATCACAGTCATGCCAAAGTGAATATATAGGTTTCATAATAGCCTGCGTGGCAGTTTGCGTAACAGGTGCAAAAACGAGAGAAGAGGGGAGGGGAGTGAAGGGAAAAGAAGCAGAAATGAAAAAAGGTGTCCTTTTTTTTTCTCTTCCCTTTACCCCTCCCCTTTTCACTTTTTTCAATACCTCTTAAGACGCCTGCCACACAGTCTAATGATTTACAATAACCGAGTAATTTACGCGCCCCGATTGGTCGAGAACTTTTGCTTATGACAGTACAGAGGAAAGAAACAGAACTGAAGGTTCTTCTCTTCTCTGTTTCTTGTGTGCGATTCTCCGGGACATTGTAAATAACAAAGAGAAACGTAGCTATTTTTCACTGCCGCGACTCCGACAATTCAAAGAAATGACATTAAAAATGCTCCAAACTTTACCGTAAAACCTCTCACTCCTCCACTTAAGTTTAAAACTTTTTAACGTCATTTTTATGACCTTAAAGAATGAACAGATAAAGGAAAAAATGTCTCCTGGCAAATAATGCCGGATTTTCTCTTGGTTGAAGCCTTGAACAAATACGCACTCGTTTACACAACTTTTTTTCATAGACTTACCTTGATGTAGAGGCTTAGTGCCACAGGACGATAACGTATGACCATCAAGAACTCACCAAGAGTTAGATTATCCTTCAAATGCATAACAACCATATACACTAGAAAGAAAGAAAGAAAAAAAGACAACACAAATGAAATGTGATCTAGATACAGGGGAAAATCACGTAGGCTGGTTTTGGATGACGGCGGTTCGGATCCATCAATTTTGATCACCTGACCAGAGAAAGCTGTTACCATTGGAGGAGAGCATGTAAGGATCAAGATGGTTAACTCTGTCTCAGCTTGTAACGCCGCTGGTGTAACGCCAACTTTTAAGCTGAGAAAAAGTTCATTCTAAATTTTTGGAACCTTTGGTACAATTTCAACATTACGATAGATCTTTCTATAAGTCGGCTCTTGCGACTACGACGAAACAAAAACGGGCTTCAAAAATTGTTCCCATCCACTATACTTTAAGTTAGCTGTAGTTCTCCGCAGTGGTACCCAATTATAACTCACCCAGATCCGTGTCCCCACTCATAATGGCCTTCTCGAGCGCTAGGTCATCTTTATTCATGCGCATGAGCAGTGGAACTTGGTCAGCGGCTTTTGCTTCATAGTCCAACAGCTACCGGTAAAAAATCAGACCACGAAGATGTGAGTATCTTCAAAGATACATTATGCATCATGGCATAGCCTGTACACAGACGTTGTTTTATTTTTCTTTTCGTTCTTTTCAAATAGAATCCCCTGCGGTTTATACTTTATCACCCGTGCTCGACGGACTTTGAGGAGAAAATAGCGGGTCTGTGAACAGGCTATCATGGCATGGCTATGATAGGCTCGTTTACCGATTGTCAAACGACGAACTAACTATGGTGAGATTACCCCAGCTAGAGGTCAAGGCTGGCTTTAAGCCAGGCTGTAAGCAGGTATCCTCGGGGAGGCACAAGCGGCGAAGCCACGAGAAAGGCCGTAGGCAAAACCTGGACCGCAGAACCGGATCAGATCATTCCCAGAGGCACTATCCCTTATCTTTCGTTATTCAGTAAGTTACAGGGATTGATCTGACCCGGTCCGTTCCAGGTTTTGTTGACGTCTTATGAGACGAGCATGTTGGTAACCCCCGAACAGAACAATGGTGAAAGTTAAGAAGTTATATTGATCAATGGCCCACGTTCGATATATTAAAATTCTAACATGATTCCGAGGCTTTAGGGTCCCTTCTTCGCTCTGACGAAGGGCTAGAGCATGAAACTTGTTTGTATTTAATTTATCAACTCATTTGTTAAATCTCTCCATATTTCATTCTCCCATTGGTCTTCTTTGCGGCCGTACGTTTTGTTTCTCGACATGAGTCCTTTAACAATTGAGTAATATTTCATCATAGTGGTGTTGTTGATAATAAAGCGGGCCGCCGAACTAATTACAAAGCGCGGTCCTCATACTCCGAATACTGAAAAAAATTCTTGATTACCGACAGTAAAAGTAATCTCGTAGGTAAAAAAAATCCCATTCTATACCAACCCACCTTATTTTAAGCCTCAGTGCATTTAGCAAGCAAATACTAACGGACGACAACGCTTTATGCCTCAAAATTGTGCTTGGAACGTAATTGCGTTCGACGTTAGGAGAACGCTTCGTAATCTTTGGGGATCCTGTGGTCGATGGGATACCTGTGCATGCCAGGCGTGAAGATTCGAGATTTTTGGTTACTTGGACGGGCGATGTTCAAAATCTGCGCCATTTTGAATAATTATTAAGCGCGCGCACGAATTTTAAGCCCAATAGCCGGCCAAAGAAATTGCGGGCTCACCTGGTGGACATGCGCACACAACTATTTTTATGCGCAAGCAACTATACCTCGTGCGAGTGCGCACGCAACTATACCTCGTGCGAGTGCAAGCTCCTCGTGCGTCCGTGTCGCCTCCGTGGATATCTTTGCGTCCGTGTCGCCTCCGTGGATATCTTTGGATTATTCGGTAAGTTCATTTATTTTTCTCAAACTTCATGCGATGTTTCTTAAAAAGTTCATCGCTTCAACTTGTCAAAGCCTTACCAGGAAACTTTTTAGTACTCCAAGAGCATGTAGAAAGCCCGATGTCGGCGTTGTCCGAACTACAACAAACCGAAGACCTTCGCTGCTCTCCTGCTTTGAATTGATGTCCTCGAATTTGCCGAACAACAAAGCAAATCAACCGATAACTCTGACACAAAGTTGTCTCAAAGCAAATCTACCAAGCCATTGTGCTTTTGACCCATAGCGGTCACAAATACAAACCAAACAAACCGAGTCATTGTACTCGGTGGCCATTGCGCCAAATGACCCGTTGTGGTCACAAAGCAAATAAACCGAGTCATTCTGCTCGATGGCCATTGCGCCAAATGAAAAGTGACAAAAGTCAAATGGTTACCGGGCTGATAAGTGGTGATTGTAGTTCACAAGATCATGATAAGGCTTTGACAAGTTATTCTTCTTAGAAAATTGAAAATCATAGTGTAACTATTTCTGAAAAATGTTGAGGTTCGTAAGAAAAGAGTGAATTGTCAGAGGAAAAGGGACAGGGAACCATCTCGCGTTCCTGTTAAAATAATTCTAAAGGCACTAAGTAATACGAAGTCTAGGAATAGAATCAAGTCTTTTGTAAGACAACATCTTCCAGACAGTTCTTTTATCACTAATTTATGTAGAAATTACAACACCTGGAAATTCTGGTATACCAATGATCATTATTATAGTAAATTTGTTTTTTACATGAACATACAGAAAAGAAAATTTACAACAACAGATAACTATTCTACATGTAACTGTAGACAAACACATATCCGTGTGGCAGATTTAATGAATTCTGGTGGAAAAAGCTTTCCTCAAACTCATAATGATAATTCAAAATTAAATGGAGGTATGTCTCCTGAGAATGCTGTTAGTCATGATTTACCATGGGATTGTTTAACTGAAAGGCTTCGTCTCATAGGACTTATACCACATGATGTAGGTGGATTTGGGGATTGTTTCTTTAAATCAGTTTCGCACCAACTGTATAGGACTGCTGACTTGCATCTTGAAATTCGTATGGCTGGAATTGGCCATTTACAGAGTTACCCAGAATTGTATATTGAAAGCATTTCTAATGATCACTGGAATAACTATATTCAACAAATGTCAAAACAAGGCACATGGTGTGATAACATCATAATGCAAGCTGTGGCCAATGCATACAACTGTGTCATTCATATCACACAGTCTAATATAAATTCACCTGAAAGTACAATCTTAACTCCTGTTGCTGATCAGGATGGACGAAAGACAATATTTATTGGATATATTAACGAGTTGCATTATGTTTCAACATTGACTGACAAAAACAGTAGATATAAAACAAACTCACATGCATAAAGAGAAAATTATCAGAAACCAATGAAAACAGACATGGTAGACTTCTTAAGCACAGAAATTACATGAAAAGAGTCAAATATACAGAAACAGCTAATGAAAGGGCAAGCAGACTTGAAGGTAAGAGAGGCACTTATAGAAAAACAATGTCTGAAGAAACTGCTGAAAAGCGAAAAGAGAGACTTAAAAATAAGAGAGACACTTATAGAAAAAGAGTGTCTGAAGAAACTGTTGAAAAGCAAAAGAGAGACTAAAAAGTTACAAAGACTCTTATAGAAAAAGAACGTCTGAAGAAACTGTTGAAAAGCGAAAAGAGAGACTTGCAAATAGGAGAGCCAGTTATAAAAGGTCTCAAACAATTTCTGCAGGACAAAAAAGAGAGCTCTGCTGGTCCAGTTCACGAACAAAAACATGCACAAAATAACATGAACGATTTTCATAAGTCCAATCAGTATTCAGTTTGCCAATGCACTGTCTGTTTTGAAGCATGGCCATTGAAATCCAGTCCAAGGAAGGTTGATCACTACCAGTGTCAGAGGTGCATACGAGATAAACAACAACAAAAAAAGTTTTCTAAGGAAAATGACATGGTGCCATCATTAGTACCTTTACAACTGCAGGGGTTAACCCAAGTAGAAGAAATGCTTATTGCACGTGCACTTCCTGTTATGCGAGTTTACATAAAACCTGGTGGACAAAGGGGCTATTCAGGCCACTGTATCAATTTGCCTCAGGATATAGCTGAACTAGCACATTCTCTGCCTAGATACCCAAAAGATCTATCTGTTATTGTTGTTAAGATGAAAGGTAAAGAGAACAGTTTTAAAGATGTGACAGTGCGAAGGCAAAATGTAGCTGATGCACTACAATGGCTTGTTAATAATAACTCACACTACAAGGACATAACCATCAATCAAAATTCTTTAAATTCTTTACCAGAACATGGTGTTCCACATGGTCTTCTCTCGGTTGAAACAGAGAATATAGATTTGGATGCCACATGTGAACCTGACTTAGGTCCTCAAAATGAAGATGAGTAGTTTTCTGCCTATTCCAGAGTGTCAGCAGCAAGAAATAGAAGCTGTGCGCCAACAATTGTCTAATGATTCTAATCACTTGCCCTGGCCAACAGTTGGCAGTGAACCATTAAACGAGTATGTAACTCCCTTTTTAGCAACAATGGCTTTCCCAACATTATTTCCAGATGGTAAGGGTGATCCTACTAACCCATCATTACGCCGAGATATACCACTCGGAGAAAGAGTAAAGCACCTTTTAAAGTTTGGAGAAAACAAGAATGACAAATGGGTATATCGCTTTGCTACTCACCCCAGATTTGGTTACTGGGCATTGAATATGATACAAAGAAAACGTATTCTGCAACAGACAGGCATGTTCCTAAAACAAAACCCAGGAGAAGCTCATTTGACTGCTGAAGAGCTGCGGCAAATGGCAACTAGCAATAACACAAGTATGTTTATATCTAAGATATCACGCTATCTTAGTAACATTACTGGTTCTAATGCTTATTGGCACAAAGCTAAAGAAGATTTAAAAGCAATAATAGCCCATGCTGGAGCTCCAACACATTCTTTTTCACATTCTCCTCTGCTGATATGCATTGGCCTGAACTTCATGCAATTTTTGGTAACTCAGTCAGTAATAATTCAACTGTCAACAAACGGCAGAATGTGATTAACAATCCTCATATTACAGACTGGTTCTTTACACAGCGTTTAGAAAGTTTTATTAAATACTGGTTATACAATTCACTAGATGCTGAGTGGCACTGGTACAGATTTGAATATCAAGCTAGAGGTAGTATACATTGTCATGGTGTAGCAAAGCTGAAAAATGATCCAGGTTTATGTAAACTCTCAGAAACAGCTCTAAAAGGCTATTTGGCTGAAATGTCCACTAATACAGCTGAGCAAGTCAATATACTAGAACTCAATCAACAGATAGTGGATGGGAAAAAGGCTTCCCAGGTAGTTTGTCAGTATGTAGATTGGTTATTGTCTACATATAATCCAGATCCACCAGATAATGGCACATGGGTGAAGCCCTCTATTCATCCTTGTCAAAAGCGTCACAAGGACCTTGTAAGTTTACAAGACTCTGAACAAGATTATGTTGATTTGTTGAATACTGTACAAAGGCACACTCGCTGTAGTACAAACTATTGTCTTAGAAAGAAACAAAACGAAACAGAACTGAAATGTAGATTTAAGTTTCCATTTGAACCTTGTGTTAATACAAAACTAGAGTTTGAGCCCATTCATACAAAAGATGGAAGCACTCAATACAAAGCAAAGATCATAACAAAGAGGAATGATAGCAGACTCAATAATCACCAACGACTTCAGCTTCAAGGCTGGAGGGCAAACTGTGATATTCAAGTGATCATTGATTATCATGCATGTGTTGAATACCTTGCAAAATATGCTTCAAAAGGTGAACCAAAGTCACCTGTAATGAAACTTGCATTTAATTCTATTGTCCGTAATTGCAACAACAATAGCAACCCTACAAAATTGATAAAAAAGTGATAATGAAGTCACTTGGCCAACGTGACTTCTCTGCACAAGAGACTATGCATCATCTCATGTCACTGAAACTTGTCAGCTCATCATTTAATGTGGTACCTATTAGTCTAAATGGTTCACGTAGAATCAAAACTATAACAAATGATGGAGATACTGTAACCAATGACTCATTGCTTGATACTTACGCTAAAAAGGGAAAAATATATTCAAACCATCCCAGATATAATGGCTCTTAATTTCATTCATTTTGCAACAAAATACAAACTTGTCAACAACAAACTAACAGTTCAGCCTCATAACATGATTCCCAGAGTTTTTCCAGTATTTTCTTCCAATTCAAAAGGTCCAAATTTTGGACTTTATTGCAAATATCAGTTACTTAAGCACAAACCTTGGCATACTACACAAGACAATGCCTGGGATTGTCAGGAAGGCACTGATGAAATATACATCACAAAATGGAAGGAATTTCTACAAACACCATATGCTGAAGAGCATGTTCCTGACTGGTATGAAAAACTACAAAGTGTACAGAATAACACAGAAGAGGAACCAAATATAGAGCACTCTTCAGAAGAGCTTCCACAGCGTGAAGAGTGGATGGATTTAGCAGATCTCATACCTGGGTATTTTGTTAACCAAGATAATATAACACAACAAACCTCTCAGCCTGATTATGACTGGCAAAATGACAAGATTAAGTATGCAAATCACTTAATACAGGAAATGCCATCCTGGATAAAAACTAAGAAAGATACTTTGGATTCTACCTTTGGTTTGCAACAACAAAATATTGATGTTAATACATTCAGTGACATGCAAAGACATGCCTACAATATGGTGAAAGCACATTCTGAACAAGCCTGCCCTAAAGATCCATTGCTTCTTATTATACTTGGAGTTGCCGGTACAGGGAAAAGTTACCTCATTAATGCCATCCGAAACCTGCTCCAACACTCTTGTGCAGTGACTGCCACAACTGGCAAAGCTTCATTTAACATAAACGGATGTACAATCCATTCACTATTAAAATTGCCTGTTGGCCCAAGACATAACAAAGAATTAACAGGACAAGGGCTTGTCACATTACAAACCAAGCTGAAAGATATCAGTTATATCCTAATTGATGAATACTCTATGCTAGGACAAACATTGTTTGGCTGGATTGATAGACGCTGCCGACAAACAACAGGCGAAAATGACGAAGTATTTGGTGGTAAATCCATGATATTAGTTGGTGACCCAGCTCAATTGCCTCCAGTGGCAGATAAGCCATTATATCATTCGAGACCCTCCAGTTCTACAGGTGAACAAGGCTATTTAGCTTATCACATGTTTGGCAATGTTGTAAAACTGTCAGTAAACCAGAGGGTTCAAGGCTTAAATCAACAGCAAGCTCAGTTTAGAGATTTACTCATACGCCTTCGCACAGGAGATTCTAATGAGCAAGATTGGAAACTTCTTTTGGCAAGACAGCCTTCCATAGCATTGAACGTGAATGAGTTTCAAGATGCCACTAGGCTCTATTTCAGCAATGAAGAAGTTGCTAATTATAACTTTGAACAGTTATCAGAACTTCATCAGCCAATAGCCTGCATCACTGCACGTCACTCTAGTGATATAGCTAAGAAAGCAAGTTCGGATGACATGTCAGGTTTACAACCGACCATTTTCCTTGCAAAAGGTGCACATGTAATGCTTACCGAACCTATGGATAGATGTTGGACTTTGTAACGGTGCAACTGGAACGGTTGAAGATTTCATTTATGCAAACAACCAGCAACCACCAGACTTGCCTGTCGCTGTCATAGTAAAATTTAATGAGTATAGAGGTCCATCTATCAGTGATAGCATTCCACGATGTGTGCCTATATGCCCAATAACAATAACCTCACAGACACTAGATGGTTTACATGAGAGACAACAGTTGCCTCTCAAACTTGCTTGGGCAATCACAATACACAAGAGCCAAGGGTTAACACTGCCAAAAGCATGGATTGACATTGGTCAGACTGAAACTACTGCAGGCATTTCATATGTAGCTATAAGCAGAGTGAAAACACTTTCATCTTGTATTATTGAACCAATGACTTTTGAAAGACTTAAGAGTCTTAAGAAATCCACTAATTTAAAATATAGACTTGAAGAAGAAAGCAGGCTATATAATCTAGCAAATATAAATTGATCCCAAGTTGAGTGATGCGAACAAAGTCACTCACAACAGTACAGCACCCAAAATTGATTAATTAGAATAAATTGATTATACGGCCTTCAACACATGCATACATAAATGATTTTTTTTTTATGGTTATAAATAGTTCACTTTCCAACTACATTTAAAGCAAAGTTCCATGTAATGTTTCAGAGTGTTGTATTAACTAGGGTTTAAAGGTATTTTAAACACCCTCCTAAAACATCTGTATACATCCTTATTTTTTTTTTTTTTTTCAACAGACAAGACAGAGATCTAATATGGCTTCAGGTATGTATCTCCCGGTCATACTTAAATATTATGGTTATACGTTCCTTTCTTCTATTAAACTAATGCTTCTTGTTTTAAAATCATTTTATAACCTTACCTGCTCTATATGCTCTCATTAATAAAACATATTATTTTGAACATCTAGGTATTAGATGTACACTGTTTCCTATCACTTTTGTCACCCTTTAATGTTCTCATGTAGTTATATGATACAATTTATTTTTCCCACACCTCTTGCATGTTGGTGGCGAACTTTGGCCAAAATATCACTGTTATTTGTACTAAAAATAATCTTAATTACAGTAATTAATGAGTGGTGAACTGCTCCTGTTTTGCTAAATTTTAACACTTCCCCTTCTATTAAGCCCTTCCTTTCTATTTAGCCCCCCCCAATGCGCCTTAAAACAATAAGCCCCCTGGGGGCTTAATAGAGAATTTACAGTATATGAAACAAGGAGACTAATATTTACACATATGTTTTTTTCAAATAACACAAGCTACCTTATGCAGTAATCCCATCCATGCCAAATTTATTACATTAATCTAAATATCTTTTTACCTCCTCCTACAGAAAAACAAGACATAACTTGCTTTGTGCATAATGTCTCACCAGTAAAAAAATCTGGACCAACAAGCTACTTTAACTGCCACCTTCAGACAGAGAAAGATCTCATTGGCAGTGTATGCTTTGCAACTGAAAAGAAGGAAACTCTTGATGCAATGGCCGCACAAAGATCACCGGTTAAAATTTCAAATTTTAACATCAGCAAAGTATGGACGAAGTGATGTAGTAGTAAACAGGAACACAACCATCACTTCAACAACAGCTGATTTTCCATACAAAGCACAAGATGATGTCACATCAATTGCATCCTTGTCAAAAGTAGCACCACAACAGCTAGTGTCAATAAAAGGAAAGATATCACATCTAAGTGCGACCAAAACTATAGTCATCCAAGATTCTCCTGTCAAAAAAACAGGAAGGCTATATAGTTGATCCATCTGGTTACATAAAAGTTATTTTCTGGGGTGAGCATGTTGACAGCGTCACACCACAGTCCACCTATTTCTTCAACAACTTGAGAATGAAAGTATCTCAGAATCAAAGATACTTGAACACACCAAAACAAGATAATTTATACACCATCAAGGACGCTGAACCCTTCAAACAAACATTACCTGAAGTCAGTGACATCTCAACAACAACAGAAACCATTGGAGAAATACTAGGAATAAGCAGTGTCACCAAATACAACTGTTGTTGTTCATGTTCAAAAAAGTTACAATCAAGGGAAAAATTGCAGTCTGCGATAACTGCAAAGTAACACAAAAGGCAACCAGCTGCAGTGTAAAGTGGACACTCAAGATCCATATCCAAAACTCCAAACAACCACTGCAGAAGCTTCAGCTACAGGTTTATCAAGAAGCAGTGCCAAAGTTGTTTTCAATTTGTCACTTAATTGCAAATGAAACAACAGAGGAGGAAATCACAGAGGCTGTCTTAAACCTAGACACAGTTAAAGTATGCTTTGACACGCAAACGCGAAAACTTGTGGACATTGAAAAAATTGCCATTTAACATGTTTTGTTGCATTTTCCCTTGTAACAAACCAATCTCTAGTAACTATTTAAGTTACTAATAATTCATGCTATGAGATACAAACACTAAAACTTTTAGATATCGCAAAAACTTTTATAGCACTTAATTTTTGAATTTCATATTAAACTTTCTTGAAACTATTCCATTTACTATTATTCATGTTACTGTTAGAAAAATTAGTCTCGCTCATTTAGTATCTGAACTACATTGTAAATGAGTAGATTCTCATGTTTTAATTATTGCATTTTACCTTGTGACTAATCGAGTTAGTATCATCCAGGGCCCAGTTGTTCAAAAGACGATTACTGCTAACCCACGATTAAAGCTTAATCAAAGATTTCATCTCTTTTGTTTAAAAAGATTTCAAAAGCTAATTATAAGCTGCACATGAAGTCAAATCGAAAAAAAAACTAAAGAGCAAGAATCCTTAAGAAAATCTCTTTTGGTTATTAATTTAACTGGAATAAAAATTGACGCTAACCCTGGGTTTGCTTAATCGCGCTTTGAACAACCCGGCCCTGGTTACTGTTAAGATAAGAAAAATAGTTAAACAATGCTATGACACACAAACACGAAATATTTAGACATGGAAAAAAATCTAAGTTTCATAGCATTTTGAACTTCATCACAGCTTCATGTTCCAGTTGTTGTTATAAAATTTAGTCTATCTCTTTCAGTTTTTCAAGATACTGAGTAGATTGACATGTTTTTTTACATTTTCTCTTGCAACTAACCAATCCCATGCAACTATTCAAGTTACTATTCATGTTACTATTAAAATTTTTTTGTTAAACTATGGTATGACATGCAAACACCAGAACTTTTAAACATTGCAAAAAGTTTCATAGCATTACCAACTTCATAACTTTCTTGAAACTATTCAATTTACTATTATTCATGTTACCGTTACAAAAATTAGTCTCACTCATTTAGTATCTGAACTACATTGTAAATGAGTAGATTGACATGTTTTAATTATTGCATTTTACCTTGTGACTAATCGAGTTAGTATCATCCAGGTTACTGTTAAGTTAAGAAAAATTGTTAAACAATGCTATGACACACAGACACGAAACGTTTAGACATGGAAAAATCTAATTTTCATAGCATTTTGAACTTCATCATAGCCTCATGTTGTTGTTATAAAATCTACTCTATCATTTTCAGTTTTTCAAGATACTGAGTAGACTAACATGTTTTGTTACATTTTCCCTTGCAACTAACCAATCCCTTGTAACTATTCAAGTTACTATCATTCATGTTACTGTTACAAAAGTTAGTCTCCCACAATCAGTATCTAAACTACATTGTAACTAAGTAGATAAACATCTTTGGTTACATATTTGGGTTTCACTATTAAAGTTGCTATTGTTCATGTTGCTCTTTAAATACTTCGTCTTTCTCATTTAATCTCTCAACTAATTTCCTCCTCTGTTTTTGTATGATTTTAGCTAAATTCATTGAACTTCGAACGCACTTATTAATCTTTGATTACTACTAGTCTATAATAAAACTGTTCACATGTGAATGCTCTCAACTAACCTTGATGGCCAGGTGAGTTCGTCCACAGTCCACTGCCTTTGAAGCTATTTCTGAGTAAGATATCCCAGGAGTCTCTCCGAGCTTGGAGTTGATGGCACGAGCAATCTCTTCGTCATCAACATTGGCTTGCTGAACCTGTTTAAACAAGAGAAGCAAGTTTTGAAGAAGTGAAGGATTGAAAGAGATGTCAATATATTCAACACAAGAAAAACTATTTACGGACACTATTGTATTCTACAAGGGCGGACAAGTTAATTTCAATGTGATCATCCCAGCCATGTGAAAGTCCAACTGTTTATTTATTGACGAAATAGAACACAACAGGATTAAGAACCCCAACTGGCAGGAGGCAACCAGTTGGCTATTTACAAGCATGACCGGTTATCTGAACTTGGAAATACCGCGAATAAATTCAGCAAGTGGCCAGAGTGGGACTCCAACCTGGGACCAGCGGATTGGAAAACAACGCGATGGGCGCCTGGCCACGCTGTCTTCACCGCGTACAATCCAGTCTAATTGATCTAGATTTTTTCATAGGTTGATTTGGTGATCTTTGATAAGTACACAAACACGAAGAGCAATGTGCAAATTCAGCAGATGAAACAACCACCGGACACCCAACCCCAGTTATGTCTACTGCCACAACCATAATTTACCATTAACAATTTTAGCGGGGCTCCCGCGCGCGCGAAGCGCGCGTGGGACAGAGCCCCATACCCATGGAATATGGTCAACTTCTTTTCGTTTGGTTGTCACGTGACTGACCGAGCGTACGTACGTACGTACGTACGTACGTACGTACATACGTACGTACGCGTCTACAGATTGTATGGGTGGGGTAGGGGAGACTATCAAAAGGTAGGGAGGGGTGTCTCAGGCGTGTCTTGGCAAGTCCACATCTTTAATATAGGACATTAACAATATGGTCAATTGACAGCTGTCCAAACAGGATAGCCACTGACCAGTATCCCATGACCATATCGCGGGCTCATGTGTCAACTCATCGAGGTGACGTGATTTATTTGGAAGCTGTCCGCTGACCAGTTAACTGTTTTACTAGATCGCGAACAACGTTCAATCTCATACTTTTACTAGTTTGGGAGCACAGGAAAACTGATAATGCACACATATTGGACATCAATGTTTTGATCAATTGACAGCTGTCAAAACAGAGTACCCGCTGACCAGTATCACTTGACCGTATCGCGGGCTCAGGTGTCGACCCGTCGAGGTCAAGTATTTTTTGCAGTTATCCGCTGACAAGTAAACTAGTTTTCAAGTGATCGCAGGCTCAAGTTCAATTTTTTTTCTTAATTCATATGAAATATGTGGTGTTTATGTGCTGCACAATTAAAATTTTGATTGCAAACTGACCTCGGACGTGAAAATTCAGCCAGCTGTTACAGGCAGGGAAGACAGTTGCTTTTGTTTTTTCTCACAATGGTCACGCGTTGGTCACGCTCTACGTCCAATTTTTATGCTCTGATTGGTCAAAATTTGACAGGTGAGTTCATGCGCAAAATTTATGCAGCATCTTGAATCTTGTTTACTTTAACAGCTGAAGCTGACAGAGTTTTGTGTCAACTTGTGATGTTTTTAACTGTCTTTTTCCACTGGATGAACAAAATGAAATTCAGCTGCTATCAGGAGTCTTCTGTTACTCATGGCTAGTTTGTTTATTGGGTTTTTGGTTGAGAAAACGTCGCTTGTCAAAGTCGGAAATCCGATTTCGGATGGCATCGTTTTCGTTTTTACCTTGCTTGATGCGTAAGAGGATTGCAAAGTCTGAAGCGATACTGGCTTTACCTGATAACTTTCAGGCGCTGCATCTCGAATGGTAAGCCAGAGAAATTATTGTATTTCATGTTTGTTTTTTGTATCTAATTTAATGAAGTGGAGCGTAGTTTATGCGGGAATTTAGTTTATGCGCGTTTGTAAGATTTGAGACAACGATCTCACCGAGTATCTGGTTTGATATAATCTTACAGAACTTTAAAAAGCCTTTAGACAGTTTCTCACCGCAAATAGAAAGAAAATGTTCCAAAGAATCTTTAGTTATAATTCTGGCCGGAAAAGAAAGCTTTGAGCGATTTTCTTGCCTCGAGTTCGTCTTTGAAAAAACAAACACCGGGAAGCTGGCTTAAAACATAAACTTCAGCAAACTTAAGCTTGAAGCTTGAAGACTCAGGATATTTAGGCACACTTTAATACTTGTCTTCCTGAATGAAAATTGTTGTCTCTGTTTATGTTTCACCGACTTATATTTCTTTTATTGATTGTTAGTAGTCTCTCTTGCAATTTTAATCGCTATGCCGATTGTTTTCAGTCGTTCAGTGAACATCGCTTGCAGGAGTTCTCAAAATGCCGCGCGTTAAACCATCAAATAAAAAATAAACATGATAAATTCTTTATTATCTTGGAGCGTAACTCTGTTAATGTTCATTCAAACACTCGCTACAGCTCGCACTACAAAAGTGAGAACCGGATGGCCGTATAGGTGATTTTGGAAAATTTTTTTAACAGTTTATGAATATTGAATGAGAGCAATTTGTATTGTGAAATACTGCTTTCTGTCCATGGTATAAAAGGTTGGTTTACACGCGCCCAGATTTGTTGGCAAGATTTTGCAAAGTAAACTTGTCGAACGCCAAAACGTTGGCCTGATTTTTTTTCTAAGCCTAATTGATCTACGGTGATCAATAGCCATTACGGCTCTTAAATGTGATAAAAGATGATTACCAGTTTTTGAGTGTACATATGAGGCTATCAACTCGATGTAAGATTTGGTTCACTCTTGGGCTGTTTGCAAATTATTTTTCTCTAAAATCAGGTAGCCTTTCCCTCAAAAGTCACATAAATGTGCTCTAAAGTTAACTGAATTGTGGAATTCGAATACAAGTTTATTGTTTAATTTAAATTATAAATTTACTAATGGGAGCCTCGCTTTTAGCCCTGGCTAAATCTATATATTAGCAAATTACCAGCAATAAGCTGATGGCAGGAAGACCCCTGCTTACATATAGATAACAGCCAACCGGTATCCGGTGGTTAAACTAACTTTATAACAAGCCCAGTGTCCAAGGATGCGACTGGCACCCTCCCCCTTAGGAATCTTCAAGTAATCACAGATTCTTATGGCCAGACAGTAGTGACGCCTGAAAACAAGCCTAAAGGAGCAGAAAGTAGTAACATGAACTTAAGGCAAAGAATTCCTGCTCCAGATCTGACGGCGGGAAAATCAATTTAGTAAACACGGTTTAAACACGAAATTAAAAGTGGGCAAGTAAAAAAAACAAGAACTCTGCTTCAACTTGTTTTATATTCAGTAGGAATGCAAATAATTGTGATATTTAGAAATGATTTATGTCCAACCACGTCACCATTTTAATCGGGCAAAAGAGAAAGGTTATCGGACAAAGATCATATTCATTTTGTTATTTTTTCCTTATAAGTACTATTTCGTACTATGTACTATAGCAGGTCTGGTGTATAATCAATAAAAATTTCGACCCTGCACACTATAGAGCTCCCAGCAGCTTAGTGGGTAGAGCGTCTGATCTCGAACTCGAAAGGTCGTAAGTTTGATTCTCTCTCAGGGCTGTTCCCCTATGACGTCATAGATTTTTTGCAATGTTGTCTGCTCACAGATTTTGGCGGGAAACAGTTTCATTGTTGGATGTCATGTGACCTCGAAGAAACCAATGAGAGCGCGCACTGTTATGAAAAAATTTCCAGCTACGTGGCAATACACCCTGTTTACCGCCCCCTCCCCCCTCCCCCTCAAAAAAATGCATAAGCATTGCACGTTTTACCTTTTTTAAAACGACAACAAACAGGGTGACAAAAACAAAACTCACCTGTCGAGAAGGGTTTTCATTGTTAGTTTTTCCAGTCTAAGATGATCGTCAAGGCATCAAAATTGGATAATTTTTGAAAAATAATCAAAGAGTACTCTCAGAGGACAAAAAAGCAAAATGGAGCCCACTTTAAGAACTTGATAAGAGCCACAAAATTGAAAACTGTGTTAAAGTACTTTTAACGTATCCGTTTCAAAAAAGAGAAAAAGGAACATATCTCGTTCGTTCCCTGTACAAAAATGTAATTTAAACCCCACAGCTTTGCTCCGTTACATAAATCGCACCGAAATCACCGTTCTCTCGTGTGGACAGAAACACTCTCCGGTATGGTTTCCGTGCCGACGCAAGAGCTATCTGGCATAGTGTTAGCCTGCGTAGAAAAGGTTTCCGCGCAAGTTCGTCGAAAAAGTTGGGATCAGAGCAATGATAACTTAGTTGAAGATGATGTGAACTGCGGAAATGCAAGTTTGAATGAAGATATGATCTTCCCAGCGGAAATTGCAATTTGAGCAATTGTAAATTAACCCGAAAAATAAAAAACATTTTTCGTCTTGCTATGGAGGCTAGCATAGTGTAGACTTGCTGCAACACACGCTGCAATTGGGCAAAATGTAACCTGTGAGACGACGCTTTTGCAACAACTGAAAATTTGGTTCACTCTTGAATTAAGATAAAGGATACTCTCCATATGTAAGTGGAATTCCAACCATGTAGTCCCGCACGGCGTTTAACACTCTAAGATTCCGGCACATCGAAACAAACGCGTGTGGCGGCATATCAGTTAGAAAACTCTTACCAAAGGAAGCAGCCTAGCAAAGAGAAGAAAAGATTACAGCGGAGATCAGTGAAAAAAACGGTTGTACTATAGGTGGAATTTTCCCCAACATCGACCGCCGGAGCGCTCTTATTGGTTACTACAAGGACACATGACATGTTACACGAGAACTACTTCCCGCCTAAAATCTCTGACCAAGCGACGTTGCAAACTTCGCTGGTAGATGGTAACAGAGCAGTGTTATCGGCGAATGTTGTCCACTCGCTGAGATTTGCTATACTTTCAATTTATCCTGTATAACTGAAAAAATCACTGAATGACGCGTTCGTCGAAAGCATTAATGAAGTCCTTTATGTCTCTTACTACACTCCTCAAATAGAAACATAATGGACGAACTATTTGCGCTCTTTCGCTTTCAGTTCATATTACCCAGATATACTGAGTACAGATTTTCTTTTCACGGCATCACGTTCAACGATTTATGCCCAAGCGAATTTGAAGGAACTTCAGCAGATTAACTAAAACTTTTTCAGTAGGAGGTGATGATTTTGAAACGGAAGACAGATAATGTATTTTTTCAAACAAAGCTAAATTTATCTGGCAGTTTACAGAGCACAAATCACAGTGTAAGAAACCTTAAACTTTTCAACAACTCCCCCACCCCCTGGGGGCGGGTTGCTGTGAGAATCAAAACGTAGCAACTGAACATAAGGATCATGTGGTTACCATGACTACCTCTGAAATTATACTCACCCTCAGCAGTCCTCTTTGTATGGCAGGCTCATGTTCCGCGGCAGCGGCGTGGATACATTGCTGGACAGCCTCAGGAAGACGTTCTTTGATCATCCGAATGTACTCCTCTGCTCGGGCGCTCTTTTTCTGTTTACAGGAATATACACGAAAGAATCGTAACGACAGCTTAATTTTAGGGATTTAGTTTTTGGTGTAGTTTAGAATCTTCAAGTTGAAACTTTAATGTTGTTCGTCAGGTATTCTTTTTATTTTCATTATTGTTCTTTCTTATGAATTCTGTAAAGCGCTATTGAGCTTTTGGACTGAAATAGCGCTGTATAAATAAAGTTGATTATTTTTTATTATATGGAGAAAAGTTGGCTCAGCTAGGATGGTGACCTTACCAAGGAAAACAGGTCACCCAACAACAGGCTCACCCAGGGTGGCTCGCAGTGGCGGTCTAACAATAAAGGGGGAGGGGGCGAGCCCCCTTGGCCCCTTCTCTAGATCCGCTACTGGCTTGGGTAGGCGGCTGAGCCTTTTACCCGAGACAACTTTTTCCCAGAGAGAGTGAAGCATTGCTTGCCTCAAATTCCTTTGATGCGTCAAACAGCATCGCACCTGGTTCCATTGAACCGATTTTAAACACTTGTTCCACAGCAGCTGAAAGATTAATAGAAATAGTTGCTCTAGTATCGGACATAATTATTCACATTCGTGATAAGAAGTGGTTCTGGTTGAACGGTAACCGGTCAAGTCGCTAGAAAGTCATCTCGCCCGAAGTCATAGCGCCTGAAACCAGAGTAATGTCGCCCGAAATCCTAAGTCATGTCGCCTAAAATTTTATCGAGTGTATAAACTTGAAAAAAAGTATCATCTGAAGTATATCGCAAGGAATTTAGTCGAAAAATGTTGACTCACCCGTGTCTGGTAACCTATGCAAATGTGAAGTTAAACAAAGACGCAAATATCGCCGTTTATTTCGAGAGACATGACTCTGGTTTTGGGCGACTTGACCGTAAACCGATTGAATACGTCTACTGGAATAAAGTTTAGGGCTTTTTGCTTGTTCGTGACAACAGGGTACCCATTTTCTTTGGAGGGGGGAATACTGAATGTAGAGTCAGTCCCATCTGCTTCTGGGGAGTAAGTTAAAAAATCATACATAAGCCACAGCAAGACCACACTGGGCTGAAGGTTTAAGTCAACAGTCTCGAGAGTTTATTTCGCTTTAAGCACCTACAGGTAACGACACGTTTTAATAGAAGGTAATTTGGAAAAGCATCAAATGTCTGTGGAAAAGAAATAAATCTCAAGGACATCCCGGCCACCAACAGGGATTGTTATTTTTGGCTATATTTCGATAGCTTTATGAATCGAGAACAAGAGAGAATATCTGCGAGCATTTTGAAACCTTTCACTTGTAGTCTGCGAATAGGGACCGCGGAGCGGATTTTCAAGTGGGGGGGTTAATGCGAACGCGTTAGCGTGAGCCAACTAGGGGGTCCGGGGGCATGTTCCCCCGGGAAAATTTGAAATTGAAGTCTTCTGAAATAAATGTAAATGTAAATGTAAATGTGGCGATTGAGAGGCCAAACATACATGTCCTCTTTGCATGGCTTTTTTGCAGTGGGCTCGAACATCAGCATACTAAGGGCGCCGATGGCAGCCGCTATCAGTCCATTTATGAGCCCACTGAACCCTCCCAACCCATGATGAGTGATGATGCAAGTGATGAAGATAGACCACAAAACCGGGAACTACGTCCCCTACTCTTTTCGAATAGTGTGTGGGTTCTTTAACGTCCCACAGAGTTATATGTGAACAAGGTTTGTGAGACGGGACCTCCGGTTTATCGTCCTTATCCGAGAAGACTTGAACGTCTAATCATTTGCAGATGTCATTACAAAGACAGCACTTTCTCCTCAGTTATCTTTAAGACCCTGAGTGTTGGTCCGGCCAGGATTCGAACTCGCGACCTCCCGCTCAGCAGACCGGCGCTCTCCCAACTGAGCTAACCGGGGGGCGGTTTAAATGGCTTGAAATGGATCTAAAACTGCCAAAAGTGAAGTTAATTTTTAATTTTTATAAAACAACGAGTAACAAACTGTCCTTCACGTTTCACCAAATTTAAATGAATAGACTAACTTCTAAGCTAAACCCAACAGACGCAACGGATGAGTGCCACTCGGACATTTTTAAGTCGGATTCTTTGAAGGTGCCAAAGTTGCTTTTTCGATTTTCATTGAGAGCTGCAAACTCATTGGCAACATCTATAAGACAAAGTTTGTCTGTTCTCTGCTTGTGGGTATTAAGTATTGTCAGATTGCTAAATCTTGTTTGTGTCATCGTCCAGCGTAGCCACGTTTTCAGTCTCCGAGCAGAAGAAAAGGATCTCTCGCCTGCTGCACTGGTTGCTGGATTTACAAGAAGAAGTTTACATAGGGTTATGATTTCAGTTATCATACACTTTTCGGCTTCAGAAAGCTGCTTGATCTTGGCTAAAATGTCATCAAAACAGGTAAATTCTTCGTCCTTCATCAACAGCTTAAAAATTTCCAGTTGAACATTCAATGTTCTAACATCAACAGCCAAAAAAGTGGGGGGCCTAAAGCCCCCCCTGCGCCGATACAGCCGTTTCACCTTTCTCCTCGTTGCTAAGGAGGTTTCGCCAGGAGGAGAAACCGCCCGCAATCAACGTAATCATATTTACCAACCTGGAACTCGCTGAAGCAGTTCATGAGTCTCATTACCAATGATTCTTACGCCATCTAACTCTTGAACTAAATGTACAACACTGTCCATCTGATATGTGAAATATGTTAAGAAAGTGTGCTATCCGTAGCATATGCATATTTATTAAAACTGAACCATTGGGTAATGCAGTTAAAGAACTCTGATTGGCTTAGCCATAATAGTATATGAGCCACATACCAAAATTTGAAAATCGGTTGTTCTTACAAATAAAGTCGGGAAGAATTCTCGATATTTTGTGGGCGTTTATAATAAACAATTATTCCACTCATATCCAACGCGCACTCGTGCAATAATTGTTAAATATATGGCAATAGCGTGCTCAATAAAAAAAGCTACTCATATCTACACTAGTAACAATTGTCAGTTCAAATCAAGGGTGTTTTTAGTAACACGATCAATATATAATTGCAGCATGACAACAGAATTACCAACTTGGCCAAGCCAACATTTGCAACAACAAGAAGAACAATTTTAATTTTAGTATGCTCTAGCAGTAAGATAGCTTGCCCCGCAAATAGTTGGAAAGCTAGTCGGATATGAAGAATGATCTTGTTGATCAAAGGATATCTAATAGTGTCCATTGTCGGTCCAACGACATCCAAATAATCATCCTGTAACATATGGCAGCGCCCATTGCACACCTGTAAGGTAAGTTGAAATAAGTAAAGATCGGAACACCCAAGAAGACAAGTTGCAGCAACACGTGTCGGCGACAGATTACTCCCTGTGTACAGGTCAGGAGATTAGTTGCAGCAACACGTTGCGGCGACACATCGTTAGATGGGTGGCGGAAGAAAGAAAAACACCGATGGGTCTTAGTTTGAATTCAAAAGCATGGCCCGGCCAACCGGGCAAGAATTTGTCATAAAAGACGAGAGCCTTCATTCTAGAAACAACAATTGCTCCCTCCTTACCAGGTTAGTTGCTTGGGTCTTGATGGACAAGAAGTGTTGAACTCACAGTAGACTTTCTAAAGAAGATAGAAATACAACAATAACTGCAAAATTCAAGGAACTGCAAAATACAGGCGTATTTAAGTTGAGCTCTTAGGGGCCTGGCCTAGCGGTCCCGGTTGCCAAGCTTACTCGCTTTGCGGAGATGTCAGCAAGTTAAATGAACACAATTAAAATCAACTTTGCGATGACATGAAATGTTTCTGCAAGATTTCCGAGGAAGAAGTGGCTAGACTAAATTAATGATGATATCCCACCATGTAGAACTAAGGCAGATACGGGTCTTCATTTGTTACAAGAAAAGATACCTCAAATTCGAGTAGTATAAACAAAAGCCTTTTTACTCGCCTTCTTCAAACCTGGGTATAGAATCAAAGTTAGTACTGCCAGTTGAATTAGACCGCCACTCATTCTCATTTTGTAAGAATCCGAGTCAACTCGGCGCTAGCTACTGGAACTCGTCCTCTGATAGCTAAATTTGCGGGCTGAACAAATGTGACAGTGTTATACCCACCTGTAAATCTGCTGATCCTATCCATAACAAACCAGTGTCTGTAAACATTGCTAGGTATTCATAATTGTAAGATATGGCCATTTCTATGATGGAAGTGACCGTGGCCCCAGCGCTGAATGAAACAGTCTGAAAATTGAAGAATATCAAAACTATTCAACAACAACAGCAGCCGGCGAGCATACTCACTTGTGTGAGTTCGGGGAAGATTTTGTCATCAATATAAACGATCAAGACTTCGCTATTTCATATTTAAAGTTGTGACACTGATAAAGCCAGAGATGTAATATTCTCATTGCGACATCTCAACACACTTCTCTATTTTCTCCCCTCCATTCCTTCCTTCTCCCCGCACCCACTGCTTTACTACGCCCTGTGGCTGATTCAGGATTGGTAAAAAGTAGCAACCTTTCATACACTTGGCACTCAAGAGGAAGTTTACGATGTCCAGACAGCGACAGCAAAGAGAAAGTAAAAAAGGCAACCGGGCGAATTTTCGACCGGCTGAACTTGAATTCGAACGTTCACTCGAAACAGCCTTAAAGGTGATATTACACGAGACGACTCGCAACAACCATTTTTAGTGCAAGCCGTAACACGGCGTTGCAACATTGTTGCGATAATGTTTCGAATGGTTGCAACATTGTTCCAACATTGCAACGCTGTGTTGCGGCGTATCGCCCAGTATAACATCACCTTAACCGTACGAAAATTCAGACGCATAGCCGTTCAAAGTTCCATGTGAACAACGAAATAATTTCACGTTTTATGGAAAACGTGAACACGATTATCAATTTTTCTCTTTTCCGCTTAGGTGGGGTAACCTCCCTGTCCATAATTGTAATCTCTCACTTCAATTTGATCACGTTTACATGATAGGTGGGGTGACCTACCGCATGTTACCTCACCTATCTGGGGTCCCCCATCTTCATGTAAACAGTCCCTAAGAATTTAACTCCGTCCTAGACAAGTCCAGGACTCGCCTGCATTTGAAAAATTATGCGTGTTGGATTCACCGCAATGAGGTTTCAAACAACGCGAATTCTCTTTTTAAGAGACGTTTTCACCACCGTTGCTGAGTTGCAATCGGTGTGCGAATATCTGCTGGATACACGTTTCTTAAAATCCTAAAACTGCCGACGAAAAGGCAGACGTTTTAAAGATGGGAACTTAGTGAAAAAGCAAGCACGTCTCGAGCTTGGCGATATTTTTCATGGATGAAGAAAAAACAATGATTGGATTATAAGTGGTTGTATCACTGACGATAACAGTTCTACTGTATACTACAGCTCACCAGTCTATTACACTGTCCCTTTTCTGTAAGGTATAACAGATTATCAATTGCCACCAGCAACGATGAACCTCTGTCATGCGGCATAATGACCCAGCTGCTGGGTGGAGCATCCAAACCTGGTTAAAAAAATTACGGGTCAGTTATTTAAACGAAGTTTAATTTAAGCCGGGGTTTAACGAATCTTTGGACCTCCAGATCTCTTCCTTAGTGCGTTAAATGTTTTTCTAATCTACTCTAAACGCTTTCATAAAACACTTCACAATAAACGGAGTTTAGATAAAACCGTTGGGCAAATTGAAAAATGGCTCAGAACGCCGTTTTGTTAAACATTGGCTAAACTACGTTTAAATAACTGGCCCTATGTTTCTTAAGATTCATAACTGGTCATTTTTTGCCGTCCGGTTAGCTCAGCTGGATAAGCGCTGGTCTGCTGAGCGAGAGGTCGCTGGTTCAACACACCGGCCGGATCAACACTTAGGCAGGGGTCTTTTAATGCTAAGCAGAAAGTGCTGCCTTTCTAAAGACATCTGCAAACGATTTGACTTTCTAGTTTTCTCAGATAGGGACAGCCCTCAGGTAGTTAGGTGACAGAATTTTAACGAGTTGGGATCGAGAGCAGTAATTGTTTTCCTTGTGAAAAATGTGGCAAAATACACATTTAACTAAGACAGATCATTGTAAATATTTAAGAGAAGAAAGCCTGAAAAATATTCACGCCGCAAAAAAAAAGTTAGAATTCAAGCCCACTTGAAGTCAGTCAAATGCTACAAGGAATAATGCGTGACAAGATTTCTTTATTGCCTGTTGAACAACACTTTAACTCTCATCAAATTCAAAGTTATCACAAAAGGAAAGTGAGGCACAGGCAGATATTGAGTTCTATGGATCACAAAAGCACATGAGATGAACATGTAACTTCAAAATAAAACATTATTAATCTCTCTGAAACACTGAACTTTATGATTATTTTTTTTACCGGGTGGGTCATAATACCGTCGACTCCTGACCTCTTCCACGTTGTTTGCAACATAAAAGTGGTAATTACTAGTCAGGATAGCTATGCCAGTCCTTCCAGCAAAATTATAGGTTTTGCAGTCAATAACTTTGGATTCCTTGGCATCCTACAAAATAATACAGATAAAAATTACGAGTTTCGTCTCCTGCACCCAATGCAACTTAAAAGCACCAGATCTATGAAGTTGATGTGTATTTGATAAGGCCACATGCAAAAACGACATATATACAATGTCAGTTATGGGTTAAAATCATATCCAGGTTGATTCTTGATTTCCTTTGTCTCATAGAGTTAATTCACGAATAAATTAGGAGATAGAGAATCAACCAAGGCTAAAAGCTTTTAACCTGAATTGAAATTTTGACCTGAAACATACACGACATATGGGTAATATTATTCAATGGCCATGCCTTTGCTACAAAAAGTATATGTATGAGTATACTCTATTTTTGTACAACCCCTTTAATAAAGTAGCAAACAGTCTATGACTTATGTTTTTGATGATAATATATTATAACTGATTACATTCATTTTGCTCATAGTTATGGAAAAATTAATGATTATTTAATTTGTCAGAAAATTTATTTACTTGGGGTGACTAAAGAATTCACTGACATAAGATATGGCATCAATGGGCTAAGATGAGCTTCAAGTTGACTAGAAGTTGTCAAGCTGTGGTGCTTTACAAACATACATGCATCATTTTTCAGCCTTTTCATGACACAAAATGATTTAACACTTACCTGTCCCATTGACAAGGTTTTCTTGATTGCGCCATGAATGTCATACACCATCACCGTACCATCATCAGCTACGCAAAGTAGGTCCTCTGTGACGGACCATCCCATCTGAACTATGGGGCCTCCATCCCACTAAGAATAAAAAAGAACACTTGATCAATAGCTAACAGAAGCAGAACATTTTTGCTTTTGTTCTTGTTCCCATGCATTGATGGACTAGTCTTCTTCACTGCTGTTTTTAGCATTGTCACGCAACGCTCCTCCCCACAAGGGAGGTGGGTAGGAGCATTGTGTGACAACACTAAAAATGGCTGTGAAGCAGACTAGTGATAGACTAAGATAGATCCATTCTGCCTGCTTCAGTAACCAGTCAGAATATTACTTCATCTTTCCTGCTCACAGAACTAGCCATATGATAATACAAGTTCCTGCTCTTTTCCAATGCAATAACAGAAAATGATGACAGTTACTCTTCTAGCCAAGAACAATATTGACAATATTAATTTGTCAACACTAAACAACAAGAAGCCTGCTCGGCCTGATCAACACTCCTCTCTGTCTGTGTTCTCAGGTTAAACAACAAGCAGCAGTAGACCTTAAAAAAAGACACATACCTTGACTGTGGCAAGTTCCCTTCCAGCAGAGGAAAAAATGTGAATGATGGGTTTATTAATAGCTGATCCTTGGACTCGAGCAAAATGCTTGTCATCTCTTATCAGAGCTGAAAATTTTAAATACAACAAATACAAACCATTCCTCCAAAAAGGAAATCTCAATGTGGGGGGCTGCAGGACATGTAAATATTTAGGTGTACCGTCCTCACCCCCATGTACAGTTGTGTAGGAGCTGCTCGTAAGGTCTCTTCTTATTGGTTGCAGAAAACAATGACGTCATTCTTTCAATTGTTTCGGTATTGCTTGGGGTCAGGGTTAGGCACCATTGGTGACTTCTATTCTGAGCAGCCGCTACATGATCATCCATGTATGTAGAAGAGTACATGAGTTACCAATGGTGTGCATTAGCGATGAAACCTACCGCGGTGCTTAAATCCCAATCATCCCAAAAATACACCACAGGGGCATTAGGCAATTTAGCATGGAGCCCTTCAATTATATATTTTTTTAACTATTACTGACAGTTAAGCATCTACATACAACACAGCTGGACTGCTTTTATCAATTGCATGTTTTATGCACTAGCTGTTCTAATATAATAATTAGAAGCAAGATGTTCTTCAGAGTTGTTTTCTTCCTTTAAACTTTTTTTAGCCAAATCCCTTGACATGTACAGACAGTTGATTGAAACAAAATTCTGGTACAGTATAATGGACTCTTGCTGATATAGACCTACAGTACCATTCAAAAGTAAGTTGACACTTGATTCTCGATCCTTGCGTGAATTGAGAATAAAGATTCGAGTTGAGAATCGAGACTTGATTCTCAATTGTTGCGTCTCAATTCTCGATTCTTCATTCCCGCAAGACCCATCAAACTGGAACGGCCTTTGTTTAGTTTCGAGTAACTAGCTCTCTACTCTTGATACTCGACTGCCGTGAGAGTCTACAAGTAACAACCTTTGTTCAAGTTTTGAGTAATCTTCTAACTTCTCTCACGTCAGAAAAGTCTTTGTACTCTATAAAATAACAAACGCTACTCAGCGTTTGATTCTTGTGAGAAATTCCTGAACTATGCAAATAGCAGTTGACAGCTGTCTCGGGGAGAACTCTTCAGGAAATTTGCATTCGTTTGCACGGCTCGTGTGCTACTTTGTGTTGAAACCTTTAAATTGTTCAAACGGCATTTTGCATCATTCAAATAGCAAAAGTTGCCAGATCACTAGTTAAACTTGAAAAGCAATCCATGACCTTTTGTTTTTAAAATCCAAAATAAAAGGAAGCTTGTGTAAATAAATGTTTAATACGCGATGGTATGTAAACAAAGTCTTGTTGCTTTTGTTTGTCAGCTTGTCTTTCGAATTTTGCGGCATGGTTACATTCCCACAAGCGACTGTATGCGTGAAACAAGACCAATTCAAATTATAAAGCAAATGTTTCTTCAAGGGCATCTGTATCAAGCTTCATTTCCTCAACTAAAGTTTCAAATACCTGCTCCAAATGCAAACAAACAGCACGTTTATTTTGTAACGTCAAATGATTCTGGGCTTATTCGGCTTCTTGGCTTGATAAAGATCAGCTGTAACATACGCGTCCGTCCGTAACATGACTAATCTTTTGCTCTGAAATTGTGTTCATGATCCTTGAAAACTTTCGAGAAACAATGGTTTTGATTCTACTTTTAATTTAGCGCTTTCTTAGTTTGAGGTACTCGCTCATAAAATTGGGATGCTTTTTTCCGTGATGGAACAGGATACGAGTGAACTTTTTCGTTGCCTAGCAGGTGACTGCAGCTACCGTGATGAAAAATAATTTTTGCGCAAGCGGTTCGTATTATACGCTACTAAAAATTGTTTTCAAAGCTCTTGGAGGTTTCTGAAGTTTTCTGGCATGTATATTCAAATCGAAACTTTCATGTACGCAATCACGTCCCATAAAAAGCGAAGGGCAAAATATCAAACTGAGATGCTTTCACGTGCACGTATCACAAAAACAGCAATTCTGGTCAAGAGGTCAAGTTACAAGCAGAATTAATTACAAGTAAAGTTTCCAGCAAAAAAACACCCTAACTTTGGACACCGATGAGCAGACATTCAACCGCGATAATGCTGATGGGCATTCACAAACAGGCAATCGAAAAAAAATTGGTAAGTAGAATTGTAAAATTAGAGAAATCAGTCATGGGTGAATCTTTTGTTTTCTGTCCTGTGAGACTCAATTCTCGACTCGATTCTCGATAGCTTGTTTTCGATTCTCGATTCTCATTTCGCGCAGGAATAGAGAATCGTGAATTGAGTCGAGAATTGAGACTCGCAATGGACTGTCAACTTACTTTTGAACAGTACTGTAACTTACAAATTAATGCCGGAACTTACAGTGTTGTTAAGAGCATTTCTTTGATTCTGGCTCTTAAACATTTCCATGGTGAGTCCTATTTACCCTACAATAATGAGGGAAATGAAACTTGTACTCCGTGTACAAGTTAAACAACACTTAGAAGAAGTCTGATGTACTTACCTATTGGACCACCAAAAGGTGCTGCACTCACAATAAACCGGGATAGATCCACAGCATCTTGCCACTCCATACTGTACAGCTCTACTTTCCTGTTCAAGACAAACACATTTTGCGAAGAAAACTTCTGCTGTAATTCACTTATAGCTACAGTGTGTACATTTAAAATATTTCTCCATCCCTGACTGATTGGCTTAAATTTTTTATACCTGCCCCGGTATTTCTCTCCTGAGCCTGCTGGTTATTTGCCAAAATTGAAAGAGGTTTGCTTTGATTTAAAGGCTGCTGTCAAAAGTAAAGTCTCAGACTGGAAACGGTAAAAAGAAGATTACAGGTGCACGCAAGCAAAGGCCCAAAAAGGCTGGAGCTTATCCCGGCTTCCTTACCATGAAGGATGACTATAGGAGTCTTGCCATTCCCTGTTCCCCCCTAGATGGGATGCTAGTCCATCGGAGGGTTACCCCCGAGCAGTATTTTGCGGGTATCCATTTTTAGTAAAATCCAACTAGTGGTCTATGATCAATGCTGCATTCTGATTGGTTGAGCTACTACTAGGCTATATGTTATAGCCCACTAGTAGCGGAAAGCGCCAGCTTTGAAAACCAAAACGATGGCGGCTGAATCGCGTTATGCTAGCTAA